TACTCGATAATCCACTTCTCCTATGCAATAAAAATATATTTGACGAATATTATTAATTATTTGTTTTTTACTAATAAGGAAGCACGCGATTAATTTACCTGTTCTTTTTTTAATATCAATGTATCCATCCTTGTTGATTTTTTCCAAGAATTTTTTTCCGATGCGTTCTTCGAGTCCTTTCTTGAGATCGTACCGACCAGAGATATTTACCACCGCAGGTATATCGTGATATTTAGAAGCATACAGGAGTACAACATTTCCACCTGTATATATATATATATATATATATATATATATATATATATATATATATATATTTCGATTACAAGGAATGGTTATTGCAGCACCAAGATAGGACACTCGGATTTAAATATTTGATATACCTTTACTATGCCCAAGAATTGCAACTGTCGAACGATTTATTTCTTGGAAGTAGTCAATTACGGATCTTAAGTCTTCCACCTCGCTCGAGTAGTTACCGAAATGAAATAAACCTTCACTTTCCCTGAAAATCGAGCGAAATAAAATTTCGTAGAATGTTTGAACTTTCGGGCAACTATAAAATGTCAAAAGTCGTTCTTTCACTTTTGTTAAAAAAAAAAAAGAATGTTACAAGACTTGCCCATTTCCAGAGAAATCGAAGCGAAATGCACTGATCCCTTCGCTTTCTAAAGCAGAAGCAACGTTGACCATGATATCAAACTCCTGCATATCGAAAAACGCGAGAGATTAATCGAACAAATTATGCATAAAATTACCATGTGAATGAATATCTAATACTTGAATCACAGGGTAATAAAATAAATAAATAATGTGTTTCCGACCTTTGTGGATCGAAAGCCATGGCATAGAACTACGAGTTTTTGCGATGCAGTGTCGTGCAACACACCGACAAGTTTCTCGTCGCGCTTGTTCAGTATGGTTACTTTCTGCTGCATAGCTGCTGAAACACATATTGTAATTAATACGCATTAGTCATCACTAAATAATGCCCGAGCTAAACAGATCCCAAAAGTTACATTCACGATAACTATCTATAAACAAAAGGGCACATTCAAAATTTACAGTTCTGCCTATTAACGAATACCTAACGGTAACTTCCGTTCGGGGAAAAGACGACGAAAGTAACTTTGGCCTTTTCGGAACTTCGAAAGCCCTAAAAAGTATGAACTTATTCAAACACCTGCAAATCTATTCAATTCGAAAAGTCCCTTTGAATAATAAGAATTGTTCATAAACTCGATTTCGATTTGAGGCAAAAAGATTGCTTGTATTTTCTATTCCAAGTTTAGTGACAATTAGACTAAGATGATGATATTTATATTAATTGGAACAAGCAATATAAATTCATTGGAACAAGCAATTCATAACTAGGTCAACTATGTACATGCCAACTCAACCTAAGACAGCTCAAATTAGGGCAATATAACACACACACACACACACACACACACAGTAGTCTTCATTTCATACCATAAAACAATTTTTTATCTACAATGTTTGCTATTGAATTTTTTTAGATGGGGAGTTGATCTTACCGGCGGATCTGTTGAAGAGAAAGGTATTATAGAAGAGGATTCGATTCTTTAAATTGTTGGGTTAGAGAGAGAGAGATAGATATATATATATATATATATATATATATATATATATATATATATATATATATATATATATATATAGAGAGAGAGAGAGAGAGAGAGATCAATTAAGTTACTAATAATGAAAGAGATGAAATTCAGACCACCAACCGTCGGTCGGTTCGTAACGAAGAAGACAAATAGATTGGTCATCGGAAATATTTAATTTAATATTTAATTCATATCTACGACAAAGTTATTTTCCGGTCCTTCAATTTTTACATATTTTCTGAATGGGCCCAATTAAAAATCACTTTTAAGTTTTAAGTTTAAGCTTTTACAAATAGATTATGAGTATTTTTGCTTATAATCTATTTTTAAGTGTTTGCAAATTGAACTTTTGATTTTACTTCTATTAAAACAAGCAACTTTAAGCTAGAAATAAACACTTAAAACTAACTTAACTCACAATCCATAACTTCTGTTTTTAAATAAATCACTTTTTAATATCTACATTAAAAAAACATTAAATCCACAAACAAATCTGCACTTCTTCAAATCATAAACATATTTTCATAAATAAATATATATAATTTTGTTTATTATAATCCAATACAACTACAAATAATGTGTAGACCTAATGAATCTCCAATGCTACAACTTCCTCAAACAAGTAGTCCTAAGCACGCCTTCGGCTCAACCGCCACGAGTCAGCTTCGTTGTACCGATCGTAAAGCGGCTCAATCCGCTCTTGTCTCTTGCGCTTGCTAATCCTCTTCGAATCCGCAACCCGAAAAAACCTCGGCGCCAGCTCAGCAAGCCACATGGGATCAACGGCAGTGACATCGCGCATGTACTCCTTCGTAGTCATCACAAGCTCATTATAAATAACCCAATCCGGTTGTCTCCGGAAAAGAGCACTACTCGGGTCTATATACACCACCTGATTATCCGCTAGTGTACGGTAACCTTCCTGCGGATCCTTCCTCGCTGCATGGAAGAAGAAACCGGCAGCTATAGCTTTCCTAATCTTTGTAACATTCCTGCCGGCACTCGAAACTTTCAACTTGTACCTGTCCATAATCGAAAGAAGCTGCTTCCTCACGTCGCGTGCCCTGATCAACGATCGGGATTGAACGAAATTCTCGTAGCACCACGGAATCGAGAAGTTTTTCGATCTCCAAGCCTCGTAAACGGCGAGCAGCGTCAAGTGGTCTCCCTCGGCCTGGAAAAATTTCGATCTCTTCTGGTCCGCTTGTGTTTGTTTCTCCCTCGGCCGGTAAAAGATATTCTTCGTCTGAATCATTGCGATGATGGTCAAAACCTCGTCACTACAGCCGAGATCCACGCTGGCGATAAGCATCTTGGACAGGGGAGGGTCCATCGGGAATTCTGACATTCTACTGCCCAACTTTGTGAGATACCCCTCTTCATCGAGAGCTCCTAAGCTGTACAGCTGTCCCATGGCAGAAACGAGGGCCTCATGCGAAGGCGGGTCCATAAAATCGAAAGAAAATAAATCGTGGATCCCCATAGCTTTCATCGTAAGAGCAGTCGGTCCAAGATTAATCCTCTGAATCTCCGGTATGCTAGTCGGAGACATTTCGCTGCGGAAAGCGCTCTCCGTGTAGAGACGGTAGCATTTACCCGGTCCAGTACGCCCCGCTCGTCCTGCTCTCTGCTTTGCGGACGCCTGCGATATCGGAGTTATCACCAAAGAATCGAGCCCCATTTTAGGGTTGTACACGTTTTGCTTCGCAAACCCTGGATCGATGACGTAGAATATCCCGTCGATCGTCAGTGAAGCTTCGGCTATATTCGTAGCGACCACTACCTTCCTTTTTCCGGGAGGTGCAGGCTCAAATATTCTCGACTGCATTTCACTAGGCAGCGCGCTGTAAACCGGCAGAATAATTAGCTCGGGTACGTTTTTACCTAAACCCTTCATCCTATCGTGAAGACACTGACATGCGTAATCTATCTCCTCTTGACCGGTCAAGAAGAGGAGTATATCGCCTTCGGGCTCGGATAAATGAATCTCCAACACGGTAATCAAAGATGCATCGAGGTAATCACTTTCCGGCTGCTTCGTGTAGAATATTTCCACGGGGAATGTTCTTCCAGGAATGGTGAAGATATTGCAGTCGAAGAAATACCCGGAAAACTTTTCTGCGTCGAGGGTTGCGGACGTGACGATCAATCTCAATTCAGGTCTCCGTCCCACGAGCTGCTTCAACAATCCGAAGAGTACGTCCGTGCCAACCGTCCTCTCGTGTGCTTCGTCGAGCATGATCACAGAGTACTTGGACAAATTCTCGTCCGCCAGAATCTCCCTAAGAAGCATACCATCGGTCATGTACTTGATTACGGTCTCGGGACCAGTGCAATCCTCGAAACGGATGGAGTATCCAACTTCTTCACCCAACCGGCACCCAAATTCCTCAGCGACCCGTTTGGCCACAGAGGTGGCAGCCACCCTACGAGGCTGAGTAATTCCTATTTTACCCTTGGCGGTGTACCCCGCCTCGGCCAGATACTGCGCTACCTGTGTCGTCTTTCCAGACCCCGTCTCGCCAATCACAACCAGGACTTGATTGTCGATGACAGCCTGGACCAATTCATTCTTCAGCTTGTAGATGGGCAGGCTTCTCCTCTGTTCCTGAATCGAAAGCTTCGATTTTTGTCCAAACGTTACGGATTTGCCGTACGCATCCTTCTTCCACTCCGGCAAATCGTGCGCGGACAGACCAACTCCTCTCAGTTCCTGCGCAAGATGCCTCTCGCCTCGTTCCGGCATTGGATCCTCCCACGGACGGTTCAGATCCTTTGGAATCGAATCCAACATCGCTCGTTGCTGTTGTCGACTAACTTCCCTCCTCTCCTTCGTCAGAGCCGATTGAAGCGCGGCTGCGCGGCTCAACGATCCCTCGGGGTTCTTGCATATCTTCACGGGTGACATGTCGATTGAATACCTAATCCGACCCTGCAAAAAGGCCGGTTCGTCTTCGTTCAGCTCGATCTCGATCTCCTTTTCTGCGTAACGATCTCCCTCGTCATCGACAAACGTAGGATAATCGTTCAGGCTCATAACGCCTGACGCAATCAGTTGCTTCGCCTCCCACCTCTCGGGGGAACTCATCCTCCGTAAAGCCCTAGACGACGGCACGTCGTCATAATCAACATCATCATCGTCGTCGTTAATCCTTCCGAAAGGGTTTGATCTCTTATCGTCGTTGTCGTCATCGCTCGTCTTCAACTTCTTCGAGGGTAACGAATAGCTCCGATCCACATCCTTCATCTCCAAATCCGAAACCTCTGCCCGCAAAATAGCGCGAATCACGGCGAACAGAGTCCCCACGAGGTAATCGGGGAGATCGGCGTTCTTCTCTTTCAGATTCGCGACGAGTTCTTCTGCCGTCGCGCAATTTCTCCCGATGTCGATCACGAACTCCGCTAACAGGGCCAACGCCTCGCCACGAAACCCTAGATGAGTCTCCAACTCCGTACACACCTTCGACATCAACGAGAAGTACTCCAATTTCTTCAACGCACCGTCTGCCATATCTGCTGCTTTCTTTCCCGAATTTCTGATTGATCGGACAAAGGGTTTGAAATCAAGATTCTCGCGGGAAAAAGAAAACTACCTCGTACAAGGAATATTTTAATCCAGAACTGTTGGAACTTGGAAAGAAAAATTATAAGTCAATATTTGTAGGAGGAAGTCAAATTTATAGAGCACATACATACATGAAACCTAGTCCAACTAAGATTCCGAACTCTTGATCTTGATATGGCAATTTACTTGGTGGCCAAGAAACAAATTAAAGAACCGACACCTGGCGCAGCCGTATCTATGTTCGTACTAATCACGCTCTTATATTTTGGTATGTATATATTAGGCTAAATTACAACCACCCCTGAAGTATGGTCAATTTATGGAAACCCCCCTCTTGTTTGGATAATTATATCTACTCTCTTAACTATGATTTTTTTCTTACACCTCTACTCGTATGGTGTCACATTCAACATAATCATCTAGATTTTGTGGAATTTGCTCTAGTTTGTACTCGTTTAGGGTAAATCATCTAATATGTACAAGCCAAAAAACACATATTAAGATCATCTTACTTCAAAATGTGGAGTTCGAATGGGATGAAACGGGTACAAAAATGATAATATTCCATATAATCTAGAAGATTCCACTAAATTTGAAACCACAAGGGTGGATGTGTAAGAAGATTTATAGTTGAGGGGTGTGGTTGTAATTATCCAAACAGGAAGGGAGTTTTGGTAATTGGACCATACCTCAGGGGTGGTTGTAATTTACCCTATATATTATAAAAAAAGGATTATTTGATATAACCCCCCATATGCAATTTGCAGTTAGTATAGAGGTCCAAAAAATATTCCCCTTTTTGAGATAAATCCAAATTATATTTTAATAGATTTTTTATTTATGATATTTCTATATTACCCTTATTTATATATGGACAATATATTTTCTCCTTTAAGAAAATATCGATTTTTTCAATGAATGAATCGTTCCGTTATTTTTGTGCACGTTCTCACGTCTAAAATAATATCTCTCTCATATCTCGTCCCTTCTTTTATGGGTACACCGTTTCACAAAGATTAATTAAATTTCGTAAAACAATCTCAAAAGATATCACTATTTTACACAGTATTGTTGGTATTCTTCTTCTGCCCTACTCGACCCTACTCGACTAAACACATAACGCTTTTCCAAAAAAAAAATTCGTCTGAACACGGAGTTGTTCTCTATATCATGTATTCTTCTGTTAATGGTATACAATATGAGTCAAAAAATTATTATATGTAATTTGGTTTGAATTTGTGTTTTCTGTGTTAATGGTACACAATATAGTTAAAAAACCATTATATGCAATCTGTGTTTGAATTGTTTATTGTGCGAATTTGTGTATAGGAATTTTGTAGTATTTAATATTCCAATGTATATTGGCATGTAATGTTGACGCTTAAGAATTCATGTGTTATGGATTTACATAAGCACAATATGATTTGGTAATTTTGTTTTGTTTGATAGTGTTACTGGTATAATTAATTGTATACGTGAATCTAAATCCTTGTGTGTTAATTATTTATGTTTGGAAAATTAATACTTATATAAAGGATTAAGTTCAGTAGGATAGGGAATAGTTAGTTAAGTGATGGTTACGAATTTAATTTCCAATATTTTACTATCGATCATTATTATCAAGCTATATGATTAATAATTAGTACCTATATTGATTTTAAATATGGAACAATGTTTTTGTGAGTAGGGCCGTCATCATCCACATTTTGGTGGAGGTGTTGTTCGACGCCAACACGCCACCGTCGTCTCTGGATCTTCTTCGTTGTCCTCACAAAGAAGAGCAGTGCTTGTGGTCAGAGCCACCAACCACCGCCTTCATACCTGGCGATCCACATAACGACGCCAAGGCAATATAGGCACCGCTACCAAGCGATTCAAATAGTAGATTATGTTTTTTTTTTTGTTATTTTTGAGTTGTGTCAGAAATCCGATTACGTATGTTTTTAGTGGTTTTGGATAAGTTTGTCGTGAATTTCGGTAATTTCATAGTGGATATCAATAATTTCGTACTAGATTTCGGGCAATTTTCTTTGTGGATTTTGATAGTTGTAGTGGATTTTGATATGTTTGTAGGATTTTCGTAATGAAATACATTAATTACGTAGTGGTTTTCGTTAATTGTACAGTGATTTTCGTTAATTGCATAGTGGTTTTCGTTAATTGTACAGTGATTTTCATTAATTGTACAGTGGTTTTCGAATTCTTACGCAACATTAAATAGTGGATTACGTTATAGCCTTAGAGGGATGGGGTTGACGACACGTACATTGAATAGTGGATTTCAAACAGTGAATAGTGGATTTCAATTTTACACAGTGAATAGTGGATTTCAAATTCATGCATAGTGGATTTCAAATTCATGCATTGAATATTGGATTTCAAATTCAGACAGTGAACAGTGGATTACGTTAATTTTTTTTAGATAGTGAATGTTCAGAAGTTTTGATGTGTATCGGAATAGTGGATTTTAAACTTAGACAGTGAATAGTGAATTACGTTAATTTTACAAGGATTATGACAATTTAACAATGAATTTTATGTTATTTTTTATATTTTTTTTTTATAATGAATGTCGATAAATTTTGACAAATGTGTAGTGGTTTTCATTTTTTAGTAAACCTGCTGGAAATAAAATGATTTTTTAAAAAACTGAAATTTTCAATAAGTTTATAGCAAATTCCGTAATAGATAATGTTAATTATTTAGTGGTTTTCGATAAGCTTATAATGGATTTTTCGATTTCGTAATAGCTAATGCTAATTATTTAGTGGTTTTCGATAAGCTTATAATGGATTTTCGTAATGAACTACGTTAATACATAATGGTTTTCGATAAGTTTATAATGAATTTTTTTAACGGAATACATTAATTACATAGTGGTTTTCGTTGATTACATAGTGGTTTTCGATAAGTTTATAATGAATTTCAATCTGTTAAAAACTTTGTTTTTTAGATCGAAATGTAAAAAGTGAATTTAAAAAAAAAATCAAAATTAAAAATCAATGTTTAATAACGAAAATATTTTTTTAAGAAAATCAAAATTTTATAATTTTTTTATAAAACAACTTCAGAATAAACATAAATGGAAAAAAAAAAACACAATTTAATCAAAATTTTAAAAAACAATTTCTGCAAAAAAAAAAAACGTCAAAAAGTAAAAACATAATCAAACCGTAATTTATTTTAATTGAAACGGTTTGAGATTTTTTGAGAGATTTTGGGGATTAGGCGGATTTTTAGGGGAGTTGTTTTGGGAAATTAAATTAAATATTAAAATTCAAAAATACACTATAAGGGTAATATAAGTATTTTGCTATGGGAGGGGGTTATCCTAAAAATAGGATTATTAATTGGACTTATCCCTCTTAGGAAATTAAATAAAGGGGTTATCTCATATAACCCCTATAAAAAATTATTTTACTTTTTTGAAAATACAGAATTTATTTAAAATATTGGAAATTTACAAGTTATGTTTCAATTATTTGAATTAATGATTTTTTTTGTATTTTAAATTAATTAAAAATTTAAAGAACAGAGAACCCACTTAACCATTGATGATTTTTTTTTCTTCTGTGACCAAGATTCCTGAATATACAGAGTAAGATCTTCAAACGTACAAAATGCAGCCGAAAAGCTGACATCAGCAACCGATGATTCAAGAAAAAAACCACACACACATCCATTCCCCCACTCTCTCTAGAATCGCAAAATTTAAGATATACAGACCTGAATTGCTCGAGAACCCGTCATCGAGGTATTATTATTATGCCTCAGCAGCAGTAACAGCTTCTTCATCGGTCGTATCAGATGCAACAATCTCCTCAACGGAATCTCCATCTACAGATCCTTCTTCTCCCTCGGCGTCCATAAGTTTCTCCCTCAGCTTCTTCGTGAGTTCGTCTCTTGAGCTTATATTTTCAGCTAGGTATTTCTTGAGAGCATCTTTGCCTTGGAAATTCCGATTGTCTATGTAATAAAACGAGGCGGCTTTTGTGATGAACTTGTGTTTGCAACCCAAGTCTATGAGCTCAGCCTCTCGAGATATCCCTTTTCCAAACTCGAGCTCGAATTCTGCAGTTCTAAACGGAGGCGCGTGCTTGTTCTTTACAATCTTCACAAGAACTTGGCTTCCTACAGTCTGCATAACAAACAGATTAAAAATAACTATCACGGGCCTAAAATACATTACAAAAGAATTCAGATACGAACTTCAAAATATCCGAAATAATATGAGCAAGATCCATCCATACCTCTTCTCCCTTCTTGACCAGACCTATTCTTCTAATATTAAGGCGTACTGAAGCATAAAATTTCAGGGCATTCCCGCCACAAGTAACTTCAGAGGGACCGCCAAATCCTCCAAATGTGGAAAGTTTGGAACGCACCTAAATTTAAAATGCACTTATCAGGGGAATAAAGAGATAAACATGTTAGCTTCTATCAGGCAGGCACCAATCTTATACTAGGATTTATTTAGCATTCAAGTAAATCCACAACAGCCACGTTTTTACCTCTAGCAGTCCAAAGAGAGAATATTAAGTACTTAAAATTTACACGCAATTTTTCGTACATAACGCCTCAGATCTTCCTAAAACATTGAGAATATAGTTTTATATCCAGGTTTATATTGTAAGACTATTTTGCAGATGTGAAGGAAAGACAGCATAAGAAAAATGCCATCGACTGAGCATATTAGGTCTGTGTTTAAAATATATTTACACAAAACAGCTTGTCGATATTCAGCTTAAGGTAGGAACAAACTCTCCATAAGAGTCGAGAACTGTGGACTTAAAGTGTGGAGCAAGCAGACAAAAGTAGTAGCAGTTTCAACCTAGCCTTTGTCGTCGATATATGAAGAAACGTAAAAATTGGATTACTAGTACTGGAAAAGATTTTGGTAACATTTTTCTAATTGTGAATTAACTCCACAAGAAAAGGAAAATACGCAGAGAAAAATATGGAAATAATATGTAACAGATAATAAGTACTGCGGAAGTCAAAGAGTCGAGGGAAAATCCAGAAATCTAAGAATGCCATAGGCAAAAAAAGAGAGAGGATATATTGGTGGCCCAACAATATATAGAACATGCAACAAGAAGCATCGAAAGAGTTCTAAATAAAGACCTTCCATGAAGCTTGCCGTGAGCAGTAATAATACGAAATGGAGGAACCAGTACATACAATATCATAAGGCAAAAAGTAAGTAGAAGATGCAAATATCTAAAGGCCATTGTTTCCATTAGAGGTTCGTTGATGATACCTGATTTGTGAAAATCAATATTGTCTGAGAAAGAGATAACGAGTGGCTCAATTTGCGAAGTGCTTGACTCATAAGTCTTGCTTGCATTGCCATGTGCGCATCTCCCATTTCACCATCTAGTTCACCCTTAGGTACCAGAGCAGCTACCTACCAGCGAAAATTGGAATACAATGTAAATAAGAAAATGATTGTCAATTTAATTTATCCAGCCCAGAACATGCAGAAACAACATTATCTTGCTTACACTATCAACAACAACAACATCGACTGAACCACTCCTGATTAGGGTATCCACCAGACTGAGAGCTTGCTCGCCAGAATCGGGTTGTGAGAGAAGCAAATTTTCAGTTTTCACTCCAATGGCCTCAGCTAAAGTTGGATCCAGAGCATGCTCGGCATCTACAAAGACACAGTAACCTAGACAGGAAAATCAAACAGAAGCATAAGCACGGATCATAGCGAAAATCATTGCCACAACAAACCAAGAAAAAGGTCGGTAAAAATTTAAATACAAGAATAGTTCTAAGTGCATAATGTTGATGAGCTCATCATAACTTTTGTTATTTCTTGATGGCCGGCAGGAAAAACAATGGTGGGTTAGAAAGGCTGAATGTATAAATAGTTGTTGCTTTACGAGTTCTAGCATGCCTAAAGATATATTCATTCCCCTGACTTCTATCTGAACTTTCTATTTAGCATGTAATTTAGTCTCCTCGAGAAATGAAAGATTGGAGAGCTGACTCTATTAATTCAAGAGCCTTATGGACTTAAAACATGGACAAAATGACTAACCTCCTTGTTTTTGTGCCTCTGCAATCACATGCAGAGCAAGAGTTGTTTTTCCAGAAGCTTCTGGACCATATATTTCAACAACGCGTCCCTAGAACTCAAAAGTATCACAAACCCAAATTAATATATAGACCACAAGGCTACTTGATAAAATCCCAACTTTTAATAATTTCACATTTATGTGTATGCTAAGACATAAGCATATGCCCTTACAGAAATAGATATATGCACTCATTACCAACCCACAAGTTAAAGAATAAACACAGTAAGCAAAATCTGAAAAGTATCATGTTAAGATAATTGTAAACGACCGCATAAAGGAGATGAGTAATTGCCTATCCATTAAGGTCTGAAAATAAGCCCGACTGCAATATCGGACCACTCACCATACTTTTAACTCTTCAAGATCTTTACTCATGTATATTGTACAAACGACTAATTAACTCATTTATTATTTAGGCTCATAGAATGACAAATTTTAATTACAACTCTCACTTCCACATGTAAGTCTCATATGCACATATGAAATCGTACCATTGCATATGAAACCTCTCATTCTCTTAATAATTGTAAGATACCTTTGGAAGTCCGCCTATTCCCAATGCAACATCCAGGGCAAATGATCCCGTAGAAACCACTGGAGTGTGCCTAGGAGAGACTGAGCGACCAAGCCACATAATGGAACCTTTTCCAAATGATGTAGTAATCTGATCCAAAGCTAGTTTCAATGCTAAATCTTTCTTGGACATACCCTCTTCCCCAGAATCACTTGCATCTGACTTTGACTTTTTTTTACCTACATAGAGATGGAATTATGTGAGATTATATTGCTCGTGAAGTTTCAAACAAAAAGAATGAAGAAATACTAAAATACTTAAAGGAACAAAGAGTATCCTTTCAAGTGGAAGTACAGGAATCGTAGTCAAAATCTTATGCCAGGAAACAATACATATACAATTCCTGATCGAACAACTATGACTTAATAAATCGGTCTCATCAACACAGTAACTGAAGAAAGCATTCGAAAAGGTAGAGTAGAGAGGAGCAGGTCATATGAATAATAAGATGATCAAGTGGAAGAAAGAAATTCATCTACCTTATGATGAGAAAAATATTTAATAGCTGCAATAAATGTGAGTCTACTATGCATAAGATCAATAGAGAAAAAATATTAATCATAGATGAAACAAGGGAAAGTGAATTACATTATCCAGCTGGGAATAGCAGGGGAACAAATCATATATGCAAACAACATAAAGAACACAAGAAAATGTTACATTATACATACAGACGCCCAATTACTTAAACCATTTTTTTTAATGATTCTGGAATACAAAAAATCATTGGCACTTCACTAGAATACGAATGACTCAATATGCACTAATCTACTCACGGACTAAATATAGATGCAAATAACTCATGGAAAATGAAATTGCTGTTAAACAAGTACGATTATGTGACGAATGCAGAAAGCAATAATTTGTCGGTGAAATTTTCAGTACCTTTGGTGGCAAAATTGCATAGCTGCGTAGAAGTTTCCAACAATCCCTTCCTAGATTCCTGCATACAACCAAGCAAAAAAAATGATGAGCTCTAAAGCAGCCCTTTTTCCCACCGCCCAGACAATAAAAAGAAAAGTATACAAAAATGCCGAAGAAATTATTGCCAAATAAAAAATGCAGAGATAACAAAAGCGGAAAAAAACCTGCAAGTGAGGAAACATATAACTTCTCAGAGAAGAAGCGTTTCGAAGAAGCCGCGCCATTTTCGATTCCAAACAACCAAAAAAAAAAAAAAAAAAGGAAAAATTACAAACAGTAACAGAGTCGGTGTTCGCCCCCGCTTCAAAACAACCGCGAAAAATTACAGCGCAGACACAAATAATCAAAGCTTCAATTAGCTTTCCACATGCTTTTTATTGCTTTGAAAAATGGTGAGAGGGAGAGGGTTTATGTGTGAGAAGTATTAGGGTTTATAAGGGGTTTTCCCTCCCTTTCCAACTTCTCGTTTATGGCGTTCCTGGAGAATAATATTATTTTTAATTTGTGTATATTAAACATTTCTCCCGCACGTGTAAAGTTTTTCCATTAGATTTTCATTTAATGTTACAACATTATGAATTTTTCCTGACTCATTATTTAATTTTTTGTGTTTTAAGGTAATGTCCATTATACTAAATAATTAGTTAAATTATCAAATATTCGTTTAATACATTTGTTAAACGAGTGTAGTTAAATACATTGAAGGAGATGCTGAAAGATTGTGAAATTAGATGGTACCTGATCATTTACACTTGATAGAATTTAACCAGCTATATACACATTATAAGTTATAACACACACCAATATATATGTGTTTTCAATTAGTCGTTATTTAATTAAATTTACTGTTCAACTCCATAGTGTAAATAACAAGGTGTAGCAACTAACTCTCTGGAAAAAATGCAAATCGAACATGCCCTCTAATCAATCAGTGGTTATAAAAATACAGCAAGAAAAATTTATAGGCAAATAAAAAGACAAATGATTTTGCAATATAAATCACACACAAGCACTGAAATATAGAAATCGAAGTTGGCACAAGACAAGTCTTTCGAATACGAACACAAAACTCAAAATTTTCACTCTGCATTGATACACAACCATTCAAGCCAGATTTTCTTGTGACTGCGAATATCACAAAAGCATACCAAACCCGAACAAGAGATACCACAATGACGACAAAATTATAAATACCGTAAAAGCATTTGGTAATAATGCATTCGAACACAAACCACCAGTAGACAGAGTCTCATACCATCTCTTAAAACTATTTTAATCATTCTCTCTCTCTCTCGTTCGAAACAATCAAACTAAAAAGAAAATAAAAATTTCAACCAATGAACAGAAAAATGGAGGAAATATACTCCAGATGCTGCTTTCGTAAATACACTGATATATAATATAACTCAACACACCGCCACAGCTGCTGCTAATAATCAACCCTTTCATATATTGAAGGACGCGCAGTTTACTGTTGCTTGCATTCCGGAGGCCTCTCACCCTGCGGTCCGTCACCTGCAGGTGCTCTTACGCCGCCCTTCTGCATTTTTTTAATTCCATAAATAACTCTGAATTTGCAAGTTTTTACAATACAAAGAAAGAAAATCTAATGAAACTAAATAATAATTGTGTAGAGAATCAATCATACCTTGCGTACAGCTGATGACTGGTGGTCGAAAATACAAAAAAACACAACACGTTCAGTTTCATAAAAGATTATTAAGGGAATTAAAAAAAATTATATATATAAAAGAACACAACAAGAAAAAGTATACAAATCATGCAACCTTTTTCCTGTTTTTGCTTTCCTCTTCATCGTCCTCCTCATCATCCTCGTCATCATCTTCTTCCTCATCATCCTCGTCATCTTCTTCATCATCTTCATCTTCTTCATCATCATCTTCTTCAATATCGCCATACTCATCCTGTGCAGCCTCTCCCGTGAACCACGAAACTGCATGAGGAATGATTTTGTCTCGAATCGTTGACCTATAAAAAACATTTTTAGACATGCTTGCAAAATAATCAGACAAGACACAACTACACGGCATGCAGTTCACCAGATAAATCAACATTGAGAACGCGATAACATTACTAAGCCATTTATTTCATCAGTTGATATGAGGTTAAGTGAAATGTAGACGTTGTATATATTATCTATTTCATTCATCAGTGAGTCTATATACATGTGCGGTTTGAAGCATTAATATTACAAATATAATGCAAAAGACGGAAGCAGCATCAAGTACTGACTCACCCGATGTCATAATCTTGTTCCATCAGATTTTGGAGCTCTTCAGCCTGTAATAAAACAGTACAAAGTCAAGAATTCCGGAGATCAAAGACAATACAGACAATCAAAGATAAATCAACGCATTCTTACAGCATCTTCATCTATGTCATCATCCTCCTCGGGAACTTGGGGTGGGCTAAAGAAGTTGAAGAAACTTTCACATTGTTCTGTTTTAGTAATCGGCTTGGCATTCTTGGAACCTTTCTTAGGCTTCTTTTTCAGAATCTTCTGAGTCAAAGATTTTCCTGGATACCACTCGATCTCCGTCCTGTAAAATAAAATATTCACATAAACAAACTTCAAATATCACTTTCCGGTATCTACGAAAATCATGACAGATAATACTTCATTCGCAAATTAGAGTGTGGAAATACAATTACCCAATTGCTTTCTCCAAAATAGGTTCATCCTCGTCAATCATGTGGTAAGTTTTAGTAAGCACAGAGTTCTTGAAGAATGTGTTAGTGTCAAAGTAAAATTCAAGCTTGAAGCCTTTTGGATTATCAACTCTTGACCACTTTATATCTCTGAGGAATTTGAGAGCCCCTTCATCGCGCTCGGAGATCTGCTCCAAGAACAACAAAACATAAAAGATTATAATAACAAGGAAAAGACAAAATTTAAAATAACTATGATTTTTCAAGAGAAACGCACCTCTTCAGCAAGAACCTCGTTGTTCTTCATAGCAATGAGCCAGAAATCAGGTACTCCTTTCTCTGCATAATTTATAAAGGTTAAACATAAAAGAGTCAATCAATCGAAATCCAAACTTTGATATGAGAATATAACATACCCTCGACATCTTTTGCTGGCTCCGAACCTTCAACCTCAACTTCACCATTTACAATTTCATATCTCTGCACATTCAACGTAATTGAATAAATAAATAAATAAAAAGGTATCACTTAGTGAAAAAGACATACATAAAAGCATTAAAATGCACAAGTAGTCACACCTTTGTGTAAAGTGGCTGATACAACTTCTGGTATTTAGCTTCGAGTATTGCTCTCTCCTCGAAAAATTTTGCCTCCAAATCGTCATGTTGAGTCTGCATAATCGACGATTACCAACATTTAGTAGAAATACAATCCGAAAAAAGAAAACATATAATTCAACATAATTATTTCATATATCTAATCCCATCTAAAATCGGTCACTAAAATGAAATAGGAATGACTCATCATTGCTACTTGAAATTCCTATAACCCGAGACGGGGCAACAAACACACATTTCAATTCACACTATAAACTTCAAGATCATACTGCAAAGGAGTTCTGATAACAATTAAACAAAACAAAAATTGAACTGAAGAACAAACCTGAATTTCTCTTAGCGCATCGACACGTTTTCTGACAACGGGGGTCAAACTCTCGAGCACATCCGAGTGCTTACCAGCGAGATCCTGAAGTTTATTCTGCACAAATAATTAAAAAAAAATAATAATCTTATCATCATCACATCTAAAGCAATATCATCAACAAACAATCAAAGACTCGAAACGAGAAAAATACCAACCTTGAGAGCGTTAACAAGGTCGGCTCTATCTTCTGCATTCAAAGCTACATACAGTATAAGCAACCAATCAAAATCTAAATCAAAACAAAATCCACGAACTAACGAATTCGAAGAGAGAGAAATTTTGCATCTGCTTACCAGTGCTGAGATCAGCCACGTTGAAGTTGTCCTTGTTGGTGCTCATTGTGGCGGAGGCTGCCGACCGAAAAACCCTAAGAGAGAAAAAGCAAAAACCCTAAAATGAAAGAGGGGAGCGGGAGATAGGGCTCGTTTGTCAGGGAGGAGGGGATAAATAGTTGAGTGAATTAATAAACAATCATAAATAATACTAATAAATAATAAATTAATGAACAGAGGAAAAGTATGCAAAACTCATAACTTGGCACATGGGATTATTAGTGTGTTTTATTACAAAATTGGGCTTCAAATACTCACGGGCTTTATAGCCCATTTAACTATACAAAAATATTTAAATTTATTTTCAGTGGGAGATTATATCATTATAGCCCATTTAACATTTACAATCAATTGATATTTAAATAATAGCTATTTTTGAATTTTATGTTTATAAGACATAACTAGGGGTGAAAGTCGGATGGATCGGATCGGAATTAGCATTTTCGAAAAAAATTCAAAAAGTTTCGCAAGTACAAAATCAATTCCAATTCCAATTCCAAAATTTTCGGAATCTAAAAATTCATTCCAAATCCAAAAGGTCTAGAAATTTCGGAATTTCGGAAAAAAATCGGAAACCACATAAGCTTAAAATTTTCAAAACTTAGCGAAAATTTTCTAAAATGTTCATAATTTTATAAAAATAAGGTGGTGTTTGCAAATGATTATTTAAAAGCAGAAGTTAGTGATTGTGATTTAAGTTAATTTTAAGTGCTTATTTTTAAAAGTTGGGTGTGTTTGCAAAAATTTCGGAAAATGAACTAAAAATTGAAAAAGCAGGGTTAGGGGTGCTTTTAAAAAAATAGCTTAAAGCAAATTATTTTAAGAGAAGCAAAAGTAAAAGTTGATTTTGCAAACACCTAAAAACAGATTATGAGCAAAAAAAACCGCATAATCACTTTCAAAAAGCATTTGCAAACACCACCTAAGAACGTCCACGTCGATAAAAATAAAACTAACAACTTCTAAATTTTAGTTCAAAAACTAAATAAATATGTAATACAACTTATAACAACAATTCATCGTGTCAAAATCCTAAAACAAAATTTATAGGTGTTTCGGAAAAGTAAATATTGTATAATATTTAAAATTTATAAGTGTATTTTCCAAAATCGGAACTTTTCGGATCGGAACCGGCGGAAATTGGAATTTCCATTCCAACTTGCACCCCTAGACATAACAAATATTATAGTCTAGAGGTTTATAAATTAAAAGGTACAACCATACAAAGTTACAACTAGTTATTTTGAGTAGATATTTGTAAATTATATTGTTATTTTATTTTTTTTGAAATGTAACTACAAGCATAGTATTTTATTATATCATACGCATAAATTATACAATTTAATAAAGATTCAACAAACTATTAATTGAAGAAAAAAAGATTAAATCATACTCATTCAATTTTATTTATATAAAGACCTATTTATTTCACTTTTCACAAATACATAAACGCATTCCAACTCATCTCATCAGAAATGAAAAATGAAAAATGAAATATATAAATAAATGATATAACAAAAGTGACTATAAAAATATAAATAAATAAAATTGAATTTCAAAATAAATAATTTATAAACCAAAGAACACAAAATTGGATGAAATTCACTCTATATGAAGTCATAAATATAATAAATAATAATAATATAGAAAAATGACAAAGCCAAAACAAAAAAATTATTGTTGATTGCATTCTGCAGGCTTGTCACCCTGCTGTCCTTCTCCAGCAGATGCCCGTCCGCCCTTCTGCATTTCAGATAAAACGGACACTCGTAAATTGCACGTTTTTTTTTTCATTTTTCATATCCGAATACTGTTGATTGAAAAATACAAAGAAAAAAAACGAAAAAATAAATGAAGATCATGCAATATATTTACACAAACACATATCATATAACCTTTTTCGTGATCTTGATTTCATCTTCATCCTCGTCATCATCATCATCATCTTCATCGTCTTCATCGTCTTCATCTTCACTATCACCATACTCGTCCTCAGCAGCTTCTCCAGTGAACCATAGTACAGCATGAGGAATGATTTCGTCTCGAATGGTTGCCCTAAAAATGTAATTTTATCAAATCGTAAATAAGAAACTATAAGCTCATGTGTCATGAAGCGTAAATCTCAAGTATGAACTCACCCAACATCATAATCTTGTTCCATCAGATTCTGGAGCTCTTGGAGCTCGTCAGCCTGTGAAAAAAGAGAACCGTTAGAAAGAAGAAGAAAAAATGACACAATACACACAATCTCCGACACATAACAACTCATTCTTACAGCATTTTCATCATCAATATCATCCGGAACATCGGGTGGGCTAAAAAAGTTGAAGAAGCTTTGACACTGTTCTGTTTTAGTAATTGGCTTGGCATTTTTGGGCCCATTCTTCGGCTTCTTTTTCAGAATCTTTTTTGTCAAACATTTTCCTGTATACCAATCTATCTCCGTCCTGTTTTGCAAGTTTCGGATTAGGGAAAGAAAAAAAACAATAGTTTGAAGTACTTATTAAGATTCAAGATCATGATATTTATAACTACTATGGAAAGTCGAGGATAGAATATAATTACCCAATTGCTTTCTCTAGTACAGGTTCCTCTTCATCTTCATCAAACACGTGATAAATTTTAGTCAGGACAGAGTTCTTGAAGAACGGGTTGGTGTCGAAGTAGAATTCAAGCTTGAAGCCTTTCGGATCATCAATTCTGGACCACTTTATATCTTTGAGGAATTTGAGTGCCCCTTCATCCCGCTCGGAAATCTGGCTCCCATGTAAAGAGAAAAACAAATAACATGTTATAACTGGAAAAATATACCTAAAGTTGGACGAAAAGCAAAGAAACACAATTTTCAAGAGAACCTCTTCAGCAAGTATTTCGTTGTTCTTCATTGCAATTAGCCAGAAATCCGGAACTCCTTTCTCTGCGTAATTGAAAACATATAAACATACCGATTTTTATAATTAATAAAAAATTGTGAGATGATTTAACATACCCTCGGTTGTTGTCCCTGACTCAGTTATGCCTCCTTCAACCACACCGTTCACAATTTCATATCTCTGTGTATATTAAACGTAATTAGATACAGAAACAAGAAAACGGTGCTACTTGGTGAAAAAGTGTACGAGCGTTCAAATGAACAAGTAGCCATACCTTGGTATACAATGGTTGATACAGCTTCTGGTATTTAGCTTCAAGAGATTCTCTCTCCTCACAAAACTTCGCCTCCAAAACATCGTGTTCACTCTGCAAAATTTATTGCTTACTGAAGTAAGTACAGAGCATCGTATGACATGCATTAAAGAATACTTCGACACTCAACACACAGAATATTTCTTAAAAAAAACATATTTCATCAATTTAATCCCATCTAACTCATTAAACGACTACGTGAAATTGAAAACTGAAAATAAATACATGATTCATGCTTGCATTCAATATCTAAGAAATCTATCAAGCTACTAAAAAATTAATCAAATTGAATTTTAACGATTAAATGGTTTCAAAAAACGATTCTGATAGAATATGTAATATAAAATCGAAACGACTCGTAAACATATATATCGATATGCATTACATATAATCGACCAATTACCCCAAACATTTCATCATAGTTATTACATAAGACGCCGACAAGACATAGAATCATCGAACCGACTTATTTACACGACAAAATCATAGAACAAGATAACACCCAACTTATTTCTGCGACGAAAATCATATCTACAATCAAAGCGCATCAGATAAAATTCCAATATCAAGCTAACAGAATACAGCAAGGAATGCAGAAACATGCCTGAATCTCCCTTAGCACCTCGACACGCTTCACGACGTTGTGGGACAAATTCTCCGGCACAACCCAGAGCTTAGCAGCAGCATCCTCAATCTTATTCATCATAAACAAAAACAATATCAATACAGAAAGGGAAAATAAAGGCATTCATTCACCATCATCAATCGTACCTTACTCAAGCACACCGAAATCAATATCATAAACCAATCAAAGATTAAATTTTTACATACATATATATGAAAATGAAGAACCAACCTTGATATCAGTTGCAAGGCCAGATTTATCATCTGCGAGACACCAACAAAAATTAAAAAAAAAAAAAACAAATTAATGAATTAAATAAAACATCAATCAAATCAAAACAAAAATTAAATCCTAAACTAGTAGAATTAGAGGTTTCGTGAACTGGGGATTTCGCATACCAGTGACTAAATCAGCATCGTTTAATTCGACCATTCTGGTGAGGGCGGCCGATCAAAAAAAAACTAAAACCCTTGGAGAGAGAAAGCAAAAACCCTAAGGGGGGCGACGGCCGACGGGGGAAACTGAGAGTACGTGATAGAGCTGTGTGAGGGTGGAGGGAAAGTGAGGTATTTATAATAAAATAAAATAAAAATAAATTGGGCTATTTTATTTTTTATTTTATTTTATTTTCTGAATGGGCCTCTTTTTTATGGAAAAATTGGGCCTTTTTTTTGGTGGTTCTTTTTTTTTCATTCGGTAAATAATTAATAAATATAAATCATTTAATTTCTTAATTGAATATTTTATAATACGTCAATAGAATTTTAATTTAAAACAAAATAGATATGTTTTGACATGTCTCAAAGATTAATACATGAAATATAAGATATTATTATCGTTGTCATTTTTTATTATGTGTTCTAAGATGGTTTATTCCATTGAATGAATATTTTATTTTAGGAGAATCAAATTTGTGTTGAGAAATGAGGAAAATGAACATTATATTTTACACACATTATATCATTACATATGTGATATGTGTATGTCGGATTGGACACGGGTCGGGTCGGCCAATTATCAGCGGACCACCTACCCGACATGGCCACCCAATTTTGCTGAATATTGAAAAGCATTATCAGTCTGACTACTATGGATCGAGTAATAATTGGTATCGACTTTGTCGAGTAAACATTGGGATGTTGAAAGTATTATCAGCCATTTTTTTTATTCATCTTTTATATGAAATTTTATAATAATATCATATAACGAATACTTATTTATTTATCTTAGATGTTTTTAAAAGTTTTTTCTAAAGATATTTAAAAATTTAGGATAACTTATATTGCAAAATCTTAACTTTAAAATTAAGATTTTTTTTTTATTAAACTTCTAAGATAAATAAATATAACGAATCTATATATATATATAATATAAAAAGAGGATCTATGCCCTCAATGATTGACATGTGGCAAATGATGATGTCATTTATCAAAATTGCTTAGTTGGAGTTCAATTGATGACGTGGATTCTTCAATTGGTGAGTTGTCAATTTTATTTAGGTATGTATTTAAGTAATTTCCTATTTAACATTTGTACACTCATTTAAATAATTACCACATGTATACATATTATTTCCAAATATAATATTTTATAAATTCGAAATAAAAAAAATCTTATTTATATTTTCAGTATTTCAAAATATATTTATTGAAAAAATTCATGATACTCAATTTTTTTACGAATATTAAAATAATTTTCCGAAAAAAAATAATATTTTTTTAATATTCAAATATTAAAATAAAGGAATCCAGTTTTTTTTTTTTTTTTTTTGAATTTTCAATATTTTGGAATATTCGAATATTCATTCCATTAAAAATAATTATTAAAAAAATGTTTTATTTTTTAATTGTACTATTTAATAAATATACAATATTTTTTGTATATTCAAATTATTCTATTATACCGTATTTCAAATTAAAAATAATTGTACTATTTAATAAATATAAAATATTTAGAAATTTTAAATTTTAACAATTTCTATTATACCGTATTTCAAATTATAAATACGGTATATTATGAATACGGTATATTTCAAATTATAATTATAAATAAGGGATACATAAAATAATTGTCAAAGATTGTATCAATTATACTCAATTTGTATTATTGCGTATAATCTTTGTCAATGACTGCTTTGTTTTGTTTCAAATTACACGCATATCATTTATATACACATTTAAGAAGGAATGACTCATTTATATAAAATATCCAATCACCAATAATAAAGGTTCTTCAATATTACAAGATTCTTGCATATCATCTTTGATTGATTTAGTTTACTCTTTAATTCAAAATTTAATGGTAAAAAAATAAACTGAATTTATTAATTTTTAAATACGGTATAATAGAAATTGCAAGATAGTACAATTAAGACTTTTAGATATAATTAATTTATATTAAATGAATTGCAAGATTTTCAATACCGTATTTAACTGAATTGTAAACTTAATCATCTTTATATTTAAAAAAAAAATATATTGCAAGATTTTTTTCTAAAAGTTATTGTCTTATTTTTTGGGTTGTTTCCTTTATTTGTTTGATTTCATTTCATTTACTAATATATAAATCTTTTGAATTTTTTTTTTCCGATCCATAAAATAAAGTTCATGCTCAATACTATTTAAACCCCTTCACATTGATTTCATTTTTATCTACCACCACTCAATTACAAAGTGCACAATGTTCGTATTATACAGTTTCATATCACATTTTTTTTATACTTTCTTACAGATTTTTATAATTATATATGCATACTTTTATATTCATAATTATTTTTATATATACATATGAGTATTATTTGTCGTTCTTTCTTTTGGGTTGTTAATTTTAATATACTTTTTTTAATTTTTTTCATGCAGTTTATTATACAAAGTCGTTCGTACTTTATGACGATCAAAACAGTTGTTTGCGATCAGTCCAAACTATGTGTTCTTTGCAAAGCGTATTTTGACCCTAATTTCGATCCATATATGTGCGTCGCATGTAGGGAATCAATCAAAGTCGTTCAACGTTCTAGATCTTGCATTGTATGTGGGATGACTGAAATGGAAGATTTCAAATCTTTCTTTTGTTGTGGTTTATGCGATGAGGCTTTTATACATGAACGATGTATTCCTGCAAATCAATGTTGGACCAATGGATCCACATGAAGGTGTGAGTAATGTGATTTATTATTTAATATGTGTATATGTACCAACCCTTTGCAATTCAAGAGAATCTAAAAATTGATGATGCTGAAGGGATGGACAATGGCTCGATATGTTATTTTACAAAAATAATTACGCGTTGTGATCTGCACAAACTGGTACGTTATTTATTAATTATATATATTTTTTATTCAATAGATGCGTTTTAATGTGATTATACTTTTATTCATATTTTCTATTTTAATTATGTTGTAGTACATGCGCAAAACTTTCGCCGAGAATGCTGGATTGGTTGCCAAGAAATATATCGATGTTGAATACGAAGGTGGTTCGTCGAATAAAATTAGTTTGTGTGCAACAAAAAATAATTCACGCATGGTATTCCTCACAATTGGTTGGAATTCGTTTTGTACATCGAATTATCTTATTATTGGCAACACATATTCAATTTTTTTATATTATGTATATATTTCCGAATTTTTTTATATTATGTTTATATTTTCGTGTTTCTATGTATTTTTTAGTATTAATTCCTTGAATTATATTATATTTATATAGAATTTCACAAAACTAATTTGAAATATCATATTTCTATGTATATCATATTTTTTTTAAATCCGATAGTATATATATTATGCTTTAAATACATTGAAGCGTAACTAATTTCTAAGAAAAGATAAATCTTAATATATTAATTTTGGCCAAGATATCATACTTTTAATGTTTGATTTGATAAATGTGAAGGATTTAATATGGGAGGATAATAATATCATAAATCTTGATTTTGTTTCCCATTTTGAGAATAAAATATTTAAATGACACAATATTGTACCATAATTATTTAAATTTGCTTATTGATTTCCGAAAATTAATAATTTCTTAATAATTAATTGATTTGTATCTTAATTATGTATTATTTACTTTTTTAGCAATTCAAAGACAAGTATAAAATCCCCTTCACACCACACTCATCACTTCTAATCTTATTTTGTTCAGAAAACTACAAATGTTCCATAATGTTCCATTTTTTCTTTTAATTTTTCGCATGCTTTATATTTATGCGTTTTTATTCTTAATTATGTCGTATTTATACAATAATTATTTATACTTTTGTTTACATATAAGATTGTATACCTAACATTTTATTTTGTTTGTTTATTATTGTAGATAGGGGTGAAAGTCGGAAGGATCGGATCGAAATTAGCCTTTTCGGAAAATTTCCAAAAAAATTCGGAAGTACAAAATCAATTCCAATTCCAATTCCAAAATTTTCGGAATCTAAAAATTCATTCCAATTCCAAAAGGCTCGGAAATTTCGGAATTTTGGAAAAAAATCGGAAATCACAAAACCTTTGAAATTTCAAAAATTAGCGGAAATTTTCGAAAATGTTCATAATTTTCCAAACATAAGAACATCCACGTCGATAAAAGTAATAATAATAATTACTAAATTTCAGTTCAAAAAAATAAATAAAAATAAACACCACATAATATCCAATAAAACTTCTAACAACAATTCATTATCTCACAATCCTTAAACAAAACTTATAGGTGTATTTTTTGGAAAATAAATATTATATAATATATATATTATTTATGGGTGTATTTTTCGGAAAAAAATCGGAATTTTCGGAATTAATTTCGGAAATTAAATCGGATCGGAAATCGAAAATTCCAAATTTATTTTATATAATTCCAATTCCAATCCAAAAAAAATGGAAAAATTCGGAAATCGGAATTTCGGAAATCGGAATGAAAAATGTTGTTCCAAAATCGGAATTTTTCGGATTGGAACCGGCGGAAATTAGAATTTCCGTTCCAACTTGCACCCCTAATTGTAGATATAGTCGTCAAAGGATTATTTTTCGTACTAATTGATTATTGTGTTTTTAGATTTAACTCCATAAGACCATAACAATATATTATTACATCAAAAAATTGTCTTATTTGAAATTGTAAGGCAAACTGATGACTCAGTGACATTATGGGGATTATAGGCAAAACTCAAGACTCAGTGACATCAAATAATTGTCTTATATTGTTTACCCTAAAAGTTCTAAATTAGAATTATTACTTTTACATTATCTAGGGAAGAAATCAATATTTTTTTGTTAGGGCCGTCAATGCTAAAGGATGAACTTTAGGAGTACAAGAGTTCAGTGCCATCTTCGGCAAAAAATATTTTGAAAGGATATTCAGGAAAATGGCCAAAAAAAAAAACAAGCAGATATTGTAAAATAAGAATTCAGGAAAATTTATTTGATTAAATATCTAAAATTAAAATATAAATTATATATTTTTCTTTATAGATGGATGCCAAATACGTGCTCTGGATATAATTTTTTTTTTATTACAATTTATAAACACAACATGGTGGATATTTATAGATATATTTGCACATGTGATCTGATATGAACAATGTCAATCCATGTGTTAAATGCGAATTTTTTCTCTTATTCATTTTATGGATTTTTTTTTTTAATCTAAATTATTTAATTTTATTTTATGCACACGATAATTAGTTGTACGCTTATTTGCATGTATTTCATGATTATAGTATCAATGATTCTTTAGCATTATCATTAGCGTTGTACTATTAGTATTCGTTCTAGGATTAGAGTTAATACTAGGATTAGTATTAGAATTATGATTATGATTGTGATTATGATTAATATTAGTATCAACATTAGTATTAGTATTATGATTAGAATTAAGATTACTATTAGTATTAATATTATGATTACCATTAGCATTATGATTGAAATTGGATTAGGATTATGATTAGTATTCTGATTAAAATTATAATTAGGATTAACATAAAGATTAATATTATGATGAGTTACTATTTAAATAAATCGGTTGACTTATATAACCCCGATCAACGACTTATGAGTAAACTAAAAATCAGCGACCAACTCATTTATATATGGATCAATTAAAAGTGTTGTTTTTCCACCACAAAGTGTTGTACAACCACGGGTTGAAGGTTCGAAATTTTCATTGACAATCTTGGAGAATAATTTCAAACTGAAAAAATAATAATTTAATAAATAATGCAATATAATCTGAAGAAATAAATGAGACATATTTCACTAGCTACTCTGAAGAAACATGGGAAACAATACTAGAATACGAATAAATAATTTAGTGGTTGGTTTGGTTGGTGGTTGAAGGTGGCGGTGGTGTTGGTGCTGTTTGAACTGCATAAATTTCGGTAGCCTTGTTGACTCGGGTGACATAGCGGATAGTTATAGCAAGAAGCTCGCCATTGGCATAGCCACGGCCAAACGATTCCAAGAGGTGGTTAGTGATGTTTGTCATCTGGTGGATTTTTGTAACCTGTTGCCTATGCTTCATATCCATATCTAAAATTATTCGCTCAACTTCCGCGTACATGGCCATCTGCTCTTCGCTTAGAGTAATTTCTTCTTTGCCATCGACGTCGTCATCTTTGACCCCATGTTTCACCGGCGGCGGCGGCATTTGCTTCATTAGGTCTGAAACATCAAAATATTTATCCAATTCTTTTTTCGCTTCGTCTATTGCGTTCTGCAGTTTCTCGATTAGCTCTTTCGTTGCAGACATGTACACTCCGGCGGAGAATCCTCTGTTTATGGGTACGTTCATGTCAAGCTCCATCTTCTTCGATCTTCCTCCTGAACATACATACATACATCAATCAAAACTCGAACTCGGATTATTAAATAAAATTGAACATGCACATAAAAAATAAAAACCACATCTCTATTAATTCCGTGTTTTCTTGACTAATAACTTCCCCTAGGGCATGCAGCAAATTCCCTCTTAGACCAAAGAAATTCAGATTATAAAGTAAGAATTGAACGCAATAATCAAAACATAACACCGTCAAAACGCCCAAAATCACCCGATCGGAATTCACATTCAAAACAACAATAAGAATATAACCCCAAATCAATAATAAGAAAATAACCATAAATCAATAATAATAATAAATAAGAAAATAATGCAAACTCACCTTGTTGAAATTATATATCTTGAAGATGAAATTCGAAGAGAAGAAACGGAATCTTATAAATAGACACAAACTTGGCGTAAGATTCAAGCGGAGCGGTGTCTCTACTCTAGGAAACCTTAATAAACAATAATAATACATACGATAAAATTTTCCATATAATCTTAAACCTACAAGGACAAAAGTGTAATTGAGAAATGGTAAATAAAATTATAAAAATAATTACTCAAATTTGAAATTACTGTAGGAGAGGATCTCCTCTCCTTTTTAAGGGCATGCATGTCCTTCTACATTATTAGATTCCATGTGTATAAATTCAAGTTAAATTTTTTATTTTTTAATAATTTAATTATTTATTGTACCAAAAATACCCTTCTCAATTCAAATCAAATTCCTAAAAAATCTCTCTACAAAATCAAAACCTAAAGCTTTCTATCAAATTAAATTTCCTTAGATTCCATCTCCTCTCAATTTTAATAAATAAACAAAATAAATTTGTAATTTACAAATCATATTAATTTATTTTTACTTGCTCTTCACTCTCGTGAGTCATGAAAACAACTATATGATTTGTTATTTAACCCTATTACAATAATTTGCATCTTACCATTACAATATGCATTTTGCAATTTTAAAATATAAAAATTGAGCGTAATTTATACATCAAAATTAAATATGAATTAACAAAATTGAATTTATAATTTGCATTGTGTTTCAAACGGCAAAAATCACCAACAATCGCCACACGAACAAATCCCGTCTTTGAAGCAATGAAACCGATTCGAATCCCTCACTTGAGAGTGTTACTCAAAACACTCTCAAGTGGATATTACATTATAGTTGTTTTTCCGACTATATAAACCTCTATGTTCGATATACAACATTTTGTCTCGAAGTCAAAACAAACTCATCATGGTAATCAACCATGTCTTGTGGCTTCAAATATTTACGGTCCTAATTTATTTATGGAGGCTTATCTTCGACAAGTCAACCTCCGCGGTGCAGTAAGTAACATAAACATCCACCTTCAAATTTTTATTTATTTTTATTTAATTGAACGCGCAAGATGGGCGTTCCAACCTTTTTTGTGAAAAAAAAAACCCCTGCAAATCGATTTGTAGGGCTTTTTAACATGAAATTGGTTCCGTAATCGACATACCCAATGCATATTACACATAAAAGAGTCGAAATTACATCAAAAAATCGAAGCCCATTCCTTCTTCAAGCTTGATTTCGAATTTTCGAATTTTTTTTTTTTTTTTGCTATTTGCAATTTTGGGGGGGTTTTGAATTTTTTTGAAAGTTTTGAGGGGTTCTGTTATAAACCGCAAATGCAATTTTGTGACCGTAAATAACATTTCATTTTATTATCTATGCAAGTTAAAGGCTTTATGATGTTTAATCCTGATAAATATATTCACACAAGATTATAAATAATATATAGTTCAATCTCAAGTCATATTACAACACAATCCTATGAATGATACTGTCCAATACAGAGATTATCATAGACAATATATTCTTAAGGAAGTTTAATCAATCTTATCTATCACTCTTCTCAACTTGCCAAAATTCCCTAACGAGGCCGAAACCAGACAATATCCTACATGAAATTTCATATCACTAATCTTTAGGAAATTGGAACCATTCAGTTTACATATACTTCCAATTTCAATTCAAACCGAAAATTTGGTTCCAATTTCCACCACAAATTATCAGTCCAATAACAAAATTATGGGCCGATAAATCGACCTATTACCCAGCCCTATGTGTATGTGTATAAATAAAAAAAATATAAAAAATAATCGATGTATTTCACTAGATCTAGCTAGCAGTAAGAGTTCCATTCATAAAACAAAATAGTGTTTACAAACTGAAACTTAATTCTCTTAGTAAAAAAAAATTAATTATAAAATTTCGTTTCAAAATTGTGGGCGTGAAAGAGAAGTTTCTAGAAAGTTTAGGGACCTTGACGCAATATGGGGCTCATGCTGTCATTTGTGAGCTGAGAAATGCTACACATGGCAGTATAACACAGTAGCCAATTTCATCTTTTTGGCCAACTCTTACATAAAGCACCGTTTCATTTAATACTTTTAAATATATACAATATAAAATTCTTGCATATATATAAATACAGTCAAATTAATATATATGTATATATATTCTTAATAAAAAATATTTTTAAGATATTAATTAAATGTCATCAATATATTCTAAAAGAAAATAAATAGTGCCAATTATACTGTCCAGTGTCTACACATACAACGTGCCGAACGTTGTACTTTTTTTTTTTTTTCTGAAATTTACAGTTTTTATCTCTCAGGTTTACAACGATTTCATATTTAGTCTCCATATTTATAAAAAACATATTTGATCGCCTCAAGCTTCAATTATTTGACATTTTTGGCCATTTCCATCAATAAATAGTTAGTCCGTCAGTTACAGTAGTGATGGAAACGCGTTTGATTAATTGATTCCATTAGTTTTAATAAAAAAATGACGAAAATGACTAAAAAATATTGAATTTTTTAAACATAATGGATAAAATGTAATTTTTTTAAATATGAGGGGTCAAATGTGGAATTGGAGAAAACTTAAGAGGTCAAAACTGTATTTGTTCCGAATATATATAACATAATATAAGATAGGGTAAATTACACCCACACCACTGAGGTATGCTTAAATAACTTTAAGGTCAATGTGGTATCGATAATTACACTAATGCATTCGATACATTATTTCGATAGAGTTCCAACGCTCTATTGGTTTCATGAAGTGCGGGAGATAACAAAGAGTTATGAGTGATTTAAGACATATCGGGGGAGCCATGTCACCACACAACTCTCCATAACTCTATGTTATCTCCACCACTAGCTAAAAGTAATAGTCCATTAGAACCCTATCGGAATAATTTATCCAATGCATTATCTCGTTAAAGTTTCTAACTACGTTTCAGGGGTGAGTGTAATTATCAATACCGTAGAGACCTTAAAATTATTTAAGCATACCTCAGGGGTGTGGGTGTAATTATCAGCACCGTTTTCTCTCTCTTTACCGAACAGAACTCTCACGCACCGCTTGTATATATAGAGAGAGCTACACTGCAACAGCCAGGACTGCATGTACGAACCTATCTTTCCTCACAAAAACCCCCTTTTTGTCTTTTGTCTTCTTCACAAACAAGGGTTTCGGTGCTAATGGAGTGCTCTGTAAATGCAGAAATTGGGCTAAAAATGGTGGGGAGCGACGGAGGTGTGTTTGTCAAGGAAGAGCCTCTGATAATTCTCGACGGAGACGAGAATCTCGGGAGTGGTTTTGATGGCGGCGCAGCGGCGGTGCCGATGGAAGGGCTGAGAGAAAACAACGCACCGCCGCCGTTTCTGAAGAAGACGTTCGAGATGGTGGACGATCACCACACGGACGCCGTGATTTCGTGGAGCTCGACGAGGCTGAGCTTCGTCGTGTGGGACCCACACAAATTCTCCACCGATTTGCTGCCTAAGCACTTCAAGCACAACAATTTCTCCAGCTTCGTCCGCCAGCTCAACACCTATGTAAGCTTCGATTCAGTACTTTGTCTCCGATCATCATTCTCAGATAACCTCTGTCTTGGGGATTTTTTTTTTTGTTGCTAATTTGGATTAGGTTTTGGGTCTAATTGGAAGAAAAATGTTGTGTTATTCATTTCAATTTTTAGGATTCATTATCCGTTTCGACGTGATTCGGTGTTTGGTTAAAATGATATATATTATCAACAGGGTTTCAGGAAAATCGACGCGGATAGATGGGAATTCGCGAACGAAGGGTTTCAGCAGGGGAAGAAGCATCTACTGAAGAACATAAAAAGGAGAAAGCACAATCACCAATCTTGCCACCTGGAGTATTCCACGAAGCACGGTTTTGAAGCAGAGCTCGAAAAACTAAGGACCGAGCAGAGAACACTGAGAACCGAGGTCGCGAAACTCAGGCAGCAGCAAGAGACCACAATGGACCATCTGGCTGCAGTGAAAGAGCGCCTCCGCATGCACGAGACGAGGCAGAACCACATGGCTGTTTTCGTCGTAAATTCGTTGAGGGACCCGGCTTTTTTCCAGTGCTTTGTGGATAAATTGAAGAAGAGGGAAAGGGTGTCGGGCGGTGGTGGAATCTTGAAGAAGAGGAGGCTCGAAGTGGATTCGACGAGAACCGTAGATAGTGGAGAGATTGTTGATGTGAGTGTTGTTGATGACGATGATGAATGTAAGAGGCTCCGAGTTTCTTCTGATGAATCGGGGGGCAGCCGTTTGATGGAAATGAAGGTGGACACGGCCTCGGAGACAAATAGTGTGTCTTCGGAGAATTTTGTGTTGTGGGAGAAATTGATGGAAGACGACATGATTTACGAGGATGATCAAGAGACCAAGGAACAATACGATATCGTTTCGGAATTGGAGGACTTGATCTCGAAGCCCATGAGAAATATTGTGGGACCGCTTGGTTGATCGATATCAACACATGGGGTACGGTGATCTTGTGATCCTTGCGTAATTTTTTTTTCTTCTTCTTCGTGTTATTGATGCAAAACTAAATTGTAATGCAGGGTGGAAATGGAAATGGGAAATGCATTAGGCTTTTCTTTTGTTAGTTATTATTAGAGAAAAATAGAATCGAGAATCGAAGGAGGGCAAGTGTTCGTTGGTAGAAGTGCCTGTTGTTTTTATTTTTTTCATAGTCAGTGCGCATATACTTGTCTTAAATCTTTTTCCTAGTTATTTGTTCCTCATGTTTCCTTGTGTTATGCTAGATTTTCAGTTTGCTTATTAAATGACTTGTAAGGAATGTTTATTAGACTTGTTGAGAGGTTTGGTACAAATGAATTAGTTGAAGTTTGTTTATCTTCATTTAAATGGGGAGTTAGCCATGCTGTAAAGTCTGTGTTGTTAGCCCAAGAATCAATATGACAACAAGCGGCTGCGGTCTGTCCGTGCGGACAGCGCAACCTGTACTTACGTTTCCATTTTTTAGATACCCCGCTTTTAACCAAATCCCGACACGCGGTACCGCAAGCAAACACGAGATGCATTTATCAAAGATTCAAGAGTCAGAGCTATTAAATTGAGATTTTGTTATCAACCATGGCTATATACTAGAATCTACGTTACGACAACGTTCAAACTAAATGAAACCACAATAAAATTAGAAAAACAGATTATCTTTAATACTATAGAATATGATAAAATTATTGTTTCATTATATATGTAATCGGACATGACCTAATCGAATTACTAGCTAACTCCGACGATTCGAGTTAGCTAGTAATGGAAAAGAGCGAATAAGACGACCCCCTTCGAGAAGAGTTGGATCGAACCCCCCACCCCACCAAAAAAAAAAGAAAAGAAAAACGAATAAGCTAGAAGTTGGTCAGATGGGCATATGTAGCTGGAGATGTAATTAATACAACCACCATACGATCCTAAGTATGTCCGTCCCTTTCTAACCCAAAACAAGTGATTACAATTAATTAACATTACATCTCCTAGAAACTTCAAACAAATAATATGATATGATTCACACCCACAGATTAAGAGCCACGTGTACTCAAAAAGTTCAATGATTGAGTTAATTTTGGAGAAAATTCACAATGAGTAAATTTTGGAGGGCTAATTAGTAATTAGACAAGGATTGCAAAACTACCACTTTTATTGGCTCATTATGGAGCAAAATAAATAAATTTATAAACGTTATTCCTAGAACTTAGTTCTTGAAAGGGAGCATACCATTTGGTCTCATGATTCCGACGGATGAGGATGAAGAAGACGTTGATAGGTTGATCGTACGGTCGATTTCTTCTTTATCTTCCGTAAATGCCTTGCTTAAAACTTCTTCAATTTCCATGCGCCTTTGCCTCTTCAAAGGACATTCTTCAGGAGAACCATTCCCCATCTGAGCTATATCAGGGTAATCATCCCTGTCCATGATTTTGTTTAGTACAGCCGAGCATCGTGGGAAGAATCGTTTCCCGAGTTCCACTACACACCGTGTAAGAACTATGTTAACAAACAAAAATAAATAAATAAAAAACAAAAGGCTATTCTGGTATGAAAGAACTGGATGATTTGAAAAACGTTTGACATTTACTCATATGTTGGAAACTTAAATAGCTAGAAACCATCAGTTGACATAAGAAACAATCCATAAAGCGGACATGCCTCGTAGTCTAGTTCTTTTCTAGTAAACTCACCGTACTAATAACTACTTTGTCTGACGAGTCAATAAAAAAAGGTGTCGAATGTAAATAAGCATGCAGGGCTTAAGTATACCAGTTTTGGAGAGGGCTCTCAGCCTGTTCAGATGTTCCTCTTTGATCTTGAAAGGTGCCTCGTTCAAGTCGACCTCTGTCCTCTGGGAACCAGCCTGATTCTTGTGGATTCCACTTAAGTGGAACTCAGAAGTTCCGTCGACTTGAGCAATATCCATGGCAACTTTAGCTTCCATGGGGAATAGAAGTTTGGCCAATGCAACTGAAAAGTAATCAGTTAATTTCAGACATGATAATCTAGATAAAAATTACTGAACTATCAACTGCTACAATTTACAAGTAGAAACGTAGCAGATACAAAGAAATCACGACTCTTCTACCAAGTAAGTGTCCGTCTTCGATTAATGCCGAAAAGAAGCAGATCAACCAATCTGATAAGCATGCTAACAACGTAGAAAATTCAAATTTATCATACTCGATAAATTCCAACCTCCATAATTTTACTATGTTATAGCTTCCTCTTTCTTCTGTTCAAAGCTATCCCAAATATTTTAAAAGCGTGCAGTAGGCTTTTTGACAAAAAAAAGAAAAAAAAAATTGGGTTAAGGGAGTATTTGCCGTTAACTAATTTCACAGGGAGATAAGTTGCATTTAACCCCACTAAAAAACTGCACGAGAGGACGAAACTTAACTAGTTGTGCGACTTACCTCTGTTTTCAAGATAAAGTAACTTTGTGCGTAAATCATCGCCAGCCAGAGCAAGAGACATCGAAGCTTCTCCTGGTAATGGATCTCGTCTCTCGGCTTGTTCCAAGATCTCGATGCACAACCGATCCTTAGGGGTGGATTTCCCTTCTTCGGTACTTCCGTAATAATCAATAGCCCTTGTAAGCCTCTTAGATATCTGAAGGGCCTTCCGGCCGTCTGAAGTGAGATCTGATGGCCTAGCTCCCTTGGTCAACAGAGATACTATGATTTTTGGGTCTTTTCTCATTGCAGCAACATGAAGCACAGTGTAACCCCTTGGATTCCTCTGGTTTATGTCGGCGATTGCTAAGTCAAGTAGTTCCGCTGTGGTCTTTGAATCACAGTACGCAACAGCATAATGTAATGCATACGCATCATCGAGATTTGTACGCTCTTCCTTGAGTAGCATCCTGACTAACTCAACATCGTCGGACTCCAAAGCTCGGTGTATTCTCTTGACATGTTTATCTGGACAAGTACTGTTTTCAGGTGATAGTAAGCCAAGTGCTATCCTTGACTCGTTTATTTGTTTTATAATGTGCTGGGGTAATGATTTCTCAAGAGTTATTACATCAAGATCAGACTTGACAACAATCTCAATGGCCCTAGCAAGCAAACTCCCACATACTGTGCCACACATGTTTGCAACAGATAAAACCATCAAAACATCGTCTGTAGTAGTCTTGTCAAGAATGCCCATCAGGCTATTCTGCAAGGAAACAAGGATTCGGTTACTATGAAATCAAGAAGATAGTCACTGATGGATTTGTCAAAAGAATATCCAAAATGTTCATCCAGCAAAAATGTTCATAAGCCTTAAATCGCTGCTCCAAAAATATAATTATATACAATATCAACTTCTTCAAACTAAAAATCCGCAGCAGTTCGAGAATAGTTTCTATTGTCCCTACGCTGAACCGGAAGGTCTAATTTGTAACTAGAAAAAAATAGTGAAGTAAATAACAACACACTGTAAATGGTCAACAGAACTCAATAACATTCAACATCGGTTATCCGTATTCATTCATAACCAAATGATATAATAGCACTGATTTCTAAACTCCAGAGATATTTTCTGGTCCTATTCAGCTCATCAACCAAAAGAACACTACAGCAACCATGGATAGATGAAATAACTGTCGTTCATTTTATCTCTGACAGTTGGCCAGAAAGCTCAATCAACCGCCTCTTCACCCGGTCGAAGCGCAACTCTTGGTCACGTGGCAAATTTACACTAAATGATTCATTTAGGGGTTCGACAATACTACACTGGTCGGAAAGTAACAAATTTCATAAAACACACACACACACACACACACACACACTAGACTTTTGAGAACCAGTGGATATTCATGACCTAGAAATCTAATTATACAGAAATTTTCGGGGCTTTACAGCCAGTTGCATAAACACAAGCAATTAAACATGAACAACAATGATTTCAAGTGACATAGATATCAATACCTGAAACCTGGCTACCAATTCACTGATCTGAAAGATAAAGGAGGCATACAGAACCTCCACCATGAAAGCTACGGCCGGCCTGCACGCCAAATGCGAGCACTCATCGTCCACACACACGCAGACATCCTTCGGCGAAGCCCTAATTTTCCCACTATAAAGATACGCCAGCACCGTCACCAGCGCGTCGTAGCCAACATCGTACTCCTTCATCAACTCCTTCAGCTTCAATTTCGCATTCCTCTCCCTACTCGCAAACAAATTCTTAAAAAAAGGGGTCCGCGCCGATAATATACACCGGTGTACTGGAATCTCCTTACCGGAGGCGGCAACTAGCCGTGCGTCGGCGAAGAAATCAGAGTCGGACGGTGACAGGAAGACCGACTCCAGGGTGTCGGAGAGGCGTTTGATTGCGGCCACGTCCGCCGGCAGCTGAACCGGAGACGGCGACAGCGATGAATCCGTGGCGGTGGCCGCGCAGCAGGTGCTGCTGCTCCCGCCGCTGACGTCATTCGAATCGCAGAACGCGGTTCGGCTGTCCATTTCGGCCGGGTCGGGACATGTATTATATACACAAAACCCCGAGCTTCGCCATGGATGGATAGTAAGTAGTAGCTACGCAGGTGTGAAGTGTGTGTATAGAATTATACATACGTGATTGTATGTATAGAATTGTACAATTGTACATCCATGTATTGTATTTGATTCAGATATGAGAGTCGGTCGGGTTTTATTAGAGAGAGAAACACGAGGTCAAAGGAGAGAGAGAGAGAGAGAGTGTGTGCAGTATTTTTTTATTTTTTAAAACAACTGGTATAGGTTGATTTGATTTGATGACGTCGTTAATTTTTCCGGCCTGTTGTTGTACACGTGGAATCACGATCTATGATTTGGATTCAATCAGGACCGTTGATATTCTGTGCATATATTTGCTTGGTTTTGTCTCATCGTTTAACAAGTTTCCTGAAGTATTTAGGCCCAAACTTAAATGGGTTAAATACTACAAAACTTAGGCCCAAATATGTCAAAGATTTTATTTATTTTTCACTGAAATATAATAAGAGTAAACTGCAAAAACTACCCCTGTGTAATCTAGAAATAGCAAAAACCCCCATGTGATAAATAAACTAGCAAAAACCTCCCCTGTGAAATTATTTAAATAGCAAAAACCCCCCTATGGAACTATTTGAGGGTTGACTTGATATAAAAAGACACAAATACCCCTGGAGTCTTGCAATTAATAAATTCTTATATTTTATAAATATTTTAATTATTTTATTTAAAAAATAATCAATTTAGTTGTTTACTATTTTTTTTTATTTCTAAACAAATAAATTAAAAAGAATAAATATACATATAATATGTATATATATAAATACATTTTGAGGGACAATTTTGTCATTTCAAGTCTAAAAAATCAGCTAGGGGGGATTCTGCCTTTGACTAAATTTCACAGGGGGGTTTTTGCTAGTTTATTCATCATAGGGGGGTTTTTGCTATTTCGAGATAACACGGGGGTAGTATTTGCAGTTTACTCAATATAATAATAATAATGAGGGTAAATTACACCTACGCCCTGAGATATGCTAAAATAACTGTAAGATTCCTATGGTATTGGTAATTACAGCCACACCCCTGAAACAATTACCGAAGTCAAGATTTCATGTTCTGGGGACCGATATGCTAGTTTTGTTTCGGTCGGGGCCGTTAATGCTACCATAGACGAAAATTTATAAATCTTATATAAACTAATTATGATTTAAGAAATGTTAGGTGTGCCGACCTGAAACTAATTGTCCGTTATTATCCTAACGGAGTAACTTATTCAATGCATTATCCCGTTAGGATTTCTAACGATGTTTCAGGATAGTGATTGTAATTACTGGTACTACAGGAACTGTAAAATTATTTTGGCATACCTCAGGAGTTTAGGTGCAATTTACCATGATAATAATAAAATGTGAATACAAAATTTCAATAGTGGAAAATAAAAGAAATTACAGTTTTACAGCGGGGCGCAACAATTGGCGCCATTTGCGCGGCTTTGGCGCTTCCATCGAAAATAATCGGAAGGAAATGAAAACAGAATACAGAAGAGATCAACCTCCTGAGCTCCGGCGAGTGACGTCACCAGAATCCGGCAATCACCCCCGTCCGACGGCATTGTAGAGGAAGACAGGGGCAATGTAAAATCACCGCCCGTCAATGTCGGAAGGTAGGTTCTTACCTGCTTTTTTGTTTTGATATAATTTCAATCGTTCCACAATGTATTTGGGTTGTTAATTAGGGTTGTACCTTAGGCAGTTCGTGTGGTACATTATAGACCCTAATTTTTCCTTTTTTTGAAGGAGAATGAATTGTGATGGCAAAAGGGGGAAACAGTAGAAATGAGGAGTTATATGGAAATTATCAACTGTTTAACTAATCTGAGTTTCGAATCTCAATTTTAGTGTAGAATGGTGTTTTGTAGGTATTTGCATTAATGGATGATTAGAAGTACTGAAGTTAAACATGTTTAATGTGCATTAATCTAATTAGGTTACTGCAAATTACGCCACCATATCCTGAAATACGAGACCGCGATAGGTGCGACTTGTATACATTTATACACCGAACGGAGAAGCATATTCTGTTGAACTCCGACACGTCATAGTATCTCGATAAATTAAGGATACGGTAAAGCAAATTGCCGTGTCAAATTTCATGATCGATCACTCTATTGCAATTTTGACTTATTTGCGAGTCGCAAATAAGTTACGACAACATGTTGTTCCGCAGGATGAAAAAATGACGAATCTTTTTCTCTCGTTGCAGAATACAAAATATTGATGCCACAATAATCAGAAGGGCGCCTCGTTAATACAATCGGAATTCCCAGGTTCGGTTGCCTAACTCCCTTCGACATTGAATTTTGCTCGTGTGCATTACTGATACACATTTACATAATTTAATTTATATTAATTTTTACTAAAAAAAGAAAAGCAGTTAAAGTTGCATTTGATGATCAGATGCATCAAACTTATATGGGATTTCTTTTTCAGCTGAATTTTATATTTACTCTCATTAATTAAAAAAATCGACACTTGCAAACCAATAATTGACATTATTTAACCATCTTTTCCAATCATCAAATTAAATTAATTTTTAAAGAAGCTACTTGGTAGTAGCTTCTGCTATACTCCAATTATAACAGGACAAGATATATTAGGATAATAAGATTTATTAATTATTTATTTACCTGTTGCTAATCAAATGGTGTCAACCTTGCTTACATGGTGCAGTGGCAGTATTGTGAAGCAAATGTATTAGGAAAGATAATTATGTTTGTTAGTGAGAATTTAATTTTATCATGAGTCAAAAAAAGAGAATGTTAATTATGTAATTAAATGTCAAACTGGTCATTTTTAGTGGCTTTAGGAATTCTTTTTCATATTTCAAAAGTTGCATACTTTTGTGTACATCAATTCCACACGTAACAGATTGTATGTATAGAACTCGTTGAGTTTTTGAGAGTATTCAAGATTTTCTCCTTGGAATATTCAAAGTCTTGATTGATGGGATCAAATATAAGATAGGCATATTATTTGGTTAAGTTACGAAAAAACCCCTCATATCTGGGTAATTGCCACCACCCCTTAACGATGAATCTTCTTACACGTCCATCCTTATAGTGTCAAATTCAACATAATCTTCTAGATTTCGTGATATATTCTCTAGTTTGTACTTATTTTGTGCAAAAATGTAGTTTCTGATACATTACAATCTGATATTTACAAGCTAAAAGACACATCTTATAATCATCTTATTTCAAAACGTCGAGCTCGAATGGGGTAAAACGAGTACAAACTGAAGAATATTCCATATAATCTCGAAGATTCAACTAAATTTGACACCGCAAGGGTGAACTTGTAAGAAGATTCATAGTTCAGGGGTGGTTGTAATTACTCAAACATGAGAAGTTTTTTCGTAATTTGACCTTATTTGGGGGTGGAAGTAATTTATCCATATATTATTTAAAACTAAAAAAAGGTAACTTATTAAACCAAATATTGAACTCAATTGTTCACTTTTACAGTGTTTTTAGGGTACATACAATATTTATACTAATAAATATATATATATATATATATATACACACACACATATATGTTTGAACTAGTTATATTTTCATGCCGGCTATACTACTTTAATAAAATGAAATTTATTAAAAAAAATTGATGTTTAATTGTTTATACTCTAAATATTGTGTGCTGACTTCCATAAAACTGCATGTTAAAAAGATCCCACTATTCAAGATTGTATCTTTACTGCAGAAAGATTTTCTTGATATTGGCTTTTGGCCTTTGTTGCTTGTTTTGATTCTTCTTGCGTTTTTAGGAATTTCCTTTCTTCAATTATCCTTCCTCACCACCCCACCCCCCACCCACCCACCCACCTTCTCTCTCTGCATATAATATACATACATTATTGTGTGTGTGTCTCTGTGTGTAGAATATTTTTTCAATAAGAAAAATCTCTTAGTCCAACAAAAACAAAAAAGAGAGGGTCTTAAAAAAATCAAATCTTTGAATGCAACATGCTTTCAAAGCTTTGAACCAACCCACCTTTGTTGTGCTTTCCCAGAAAGCACAGAGAAGTTTCTCAGTGTATGTACAACCTCGTGCATGTAAGAATTCAAATACATACCACTGCAGAGTCTCTCTTATACTGCACGTGTGTTTATTGTACTAGAATAAATACGACATGTAAATATATATATATAAGGAAGTGCTAACCATAATCAGAAACACATTTCTAACAAGAATATATTATTACATAATTCTCTTACCATAAGTGGTCTTGAAGTTAGAGTTCTGTTTCTGGTGAGTCACCTTTTACAGTTTTGAGATAGATTCAAAATTGCTTTGTTGCTTTTACTATTTCTATATTGTCTGGATTTTTAATTAAATACATGTGGGTTTTGTGTTCTTGATAATCGATATGGACCGAAAAGTAGTCACATAATTTACGTAAAAACCTATCGGAAATATGAATCTTCGTTACTTTGTTGAATATATCCGCCTTTGATTCGAAGTTCAAATGTATTTTCTGCAAGGGTTAGTTAATGTTTCTTTTTCATGTATTAAGCTATGTTTTATGTTTATGTATATATACGGTGGCTATTTCATGAAAAGTCAACTCCCGAAAAGGGTATCTTTAATTATTTGGATAGCGTTAGTTGAACCTACCATTTTTCTTTTATATATATAAACCCCTATTGCCTCAATTAATCAAATGAAGGGCTCCCCATCGTTTTCATTATAGTGTAGATGGTTTTGTATGATTGAATAGGGACTTGATCGTGGGCCGTTAGGTTGGTCAAAGCATTAATATCTACAGCTGTGATTGATTCTACAATTTAAGTATATTTGTAATTTTAAATTTGATTCCGATTGCTGATTTATATCGAACTGCTGCCCAATTTTTCTAGGATATTTTTTTTCTCGTACCGATGGTCCATCACAACCCGTTGAATTTGAGGGGCGGCGAATCCATGAATTTAGTGCTGGAAACCGCGCTCTCGTTCAAGAATCTAGTTGGTCAAGACATTGCAAAACCAGGACAAGATAATGCAGATGTTATTACAAATGAAACGTATTACACCGATAAGCTAGCCTTAATGTATTCCCCACGCCCCGTAAGTGAGCTCGATGCTGCTGCAGTGAAGCTGCAGAAAGTCTACAAGAGCTACCGGACTCGACGAAACCTCGCAGATTGTGCTGTTGTCGTAGAGGAGCTATGGTTTGTTTCCATTTTTTCAAAAAAAAAATTATTATTTGATAATAAATAATATTTATTAGTAAAATTAAGCGGTCGTATTGGAATTTGTATAGGTGGAAAGCCTTGGACTTTGCAGAACTAAAACTGAGCTCTGTGTCGTTTTTCAACGTCGAGAAACCAGAAACTGCCGTTTCAAAGTGGGCAAGAGCACGGACCAGAGCAGCCAAGGTTAATATCGTCTTTTTTTTATATAGCTTTGTTCGTGTTTGATTTATGGAATTTCTTCTTTGATCTAAAGAGAGAATGTTTTGCAGGTCGGAAAAGGATTGTCCAAGGATGAAAAGGCTCAAAAACTGGCTCTGCAGCACTGGCTGGAAGCAGTAAGTTCCTATAAACTTTCGATAATAATCGACTTGTTACGTGGGCTTGCGTTTTATAAATTGAATTCACTTGGGCTTTTAATCTTGTGACTCATTGCTCTTTTTTTTCGTCCAATTGTTTTTATTGTAGATCGATCCACGTCATCGATATGGGCACAACTTACATCTCTATTACGATGTTTGGTTCGCAAGTGAAAGTGCACAACCTTTCTTTTACTGGTGAGCACCCCCATTTGCACTTAAAAAAATTAGCAACGCTTTTGCTCGTGTAGTTTTAACTGATTTTCCTCTAATTACGTTATTTAATTTTGAAGGCTGGATATTGGAGATGGAAAAGAAGTGAATCTCGAGAAATGCGCGAGGACCAAACTGCAACGTCAATGCATCAAATATCTCGGACCCGTAAGTCTCCAAGTTTGTATTTTTCTAAATAACAGAAGTGAAAAGTTCATTCATTATAGTGTACCTTATTATTATTTTTTTTTTAATTGTTACGTTTGATTTTATAGAAAGAGAGAGAATCATTCGAAGTGGTTATCGAAAACGGGAAGCTTGTGTACAAAGAAAGCGGTTTCTTTGTGGAGACAATCGAGGGCTCGAAATGGATATTTGTTCTTAGCACAATGAGAACTCTGTACATAGGACAGAAGCAAAAAGGAATGTTCCAACACTCGAGTTTCCTAGCTGGCGGAGCAATAACAGCCGCCGGAAGATTGGTTGCTCATGAGGGTGTTCTCGAGGTAATTTTTTATTTTTTATTTTTTGTTTATTATAATAGTGCAAGACACGAGAAATGCTATGAAAATCATCGTAATTCTATTTTCCAAGAACTGATTTTGAGAAAATAATTTCGATCTTCTTTTTCTTAAACAGGCGATTTGGCCTTACAGCGGTCACTATCTCCCAACGGAAGAGAACTTCAAGGAGTTCATTAGCTTCCTCGAGGAGCACTCCGTCGATCTTGTAAACGTAAAGGTAGTTGTTTTCGTCTGAAATGCTAAATACCGTTTCAGTTTTACTCGCACCGTTCCGACTTCATTTTTCAACCCTTTTTCCAGTTTGAATTTGGCAAAAACTCGAGTTATCGAATTGAAACGACATTTAACCGCTCCCATCAAATTAATCTATAAAAAATAAACTCACACAAAACAAAATTTTTGTCTCTCTCTCCAGAGATGTGCTGTGGACGATGACCGCCCCCCTCTAAGCAAAAGCGCTAGCAAAAACGAAGCGGGGCCCGCTTTATCGGAAGCTCACGTCAGCGCAGCCAGCGACGGAGGAGATCGTAATAATGATAAGTCAATGTACAGCAGCTTCGCTAGACGTATGTCATGCAAGTGGAGCACGGGGGCCGGGCCCCGCATAGGTTGCGTGAGAGAGTACCCGGCGGAGCTGCAGTTCCGAGCGCTGGAGCACGTGAACCTCTCCCCGAAAATGCCTCCTTCTTCTTACGGTGGATCTTACGGTAACTACGGCCCGATTCCTTCTCCTCGGCCAAGCCCGAATGTCCGTCTCTCTCCTCGTGTTTCTTACATGGGGCTGCCTAGTCCGAGGACCCAAATCTCCACTGCCAACTCAGCTTGAGTGGGGCCCCATTGCTAATAATAACTCAAAATTCTTCATTCTTTTATTCAATTCAATAGATTTCTTTCCTTTTTTTTTTTGTGGACATGGTTTTTTAGTAATTGTAAAGAGATGAAGAGTCAGTAGTATTCCATATTTGACTTTTGTTATTGATTTTAATTTATGAAAGCTGTCAATAGTATTCAATTTCTAACAATTTTTCAAAAAAAAAAAAGTTCAATAAATAAAATAAAACTATAAATCATGTAAGATACTTTGAAAATCTTATTACAAGTTTGATAGACTATACCCAAAAAAAATATATATATATAAATAAAATAAAATGGGAAGAGTGCAATAAAATCGGTGTGGAGAAAATGAATCACGTGGATTTCCACTATCGCCAGGTTGTAGAAAAAAAGGACGTCACGTGATCACGGCCCCCGCACGCGAGAACTCAATCCATCCATCCATTCATTCATCCAGTCGTTCTTTCGCTATTTCCTTTTCCAGGAATCGGGAAACCCACTCGCACCGCCAGCGCGTGGTCCACACACCCCCACTAACCCTTCTTCTTTTCCCATCGAAACGACGCAATCTTCAAGGCGGGCGCGCCCACACACACAGTAATATATATATTATGGGTAGATAGACTCTGCGAAGAATTTCCCTTTTGTTTTTTTTTTTTTTGTTTCCTTTTCCCCTTTTCTCTGTTTCGCTTATCCGCTTCAAAGCTAACCCTAGTCAGTGCTGGTCGTGCTTAAACAGGGAAATTAATATCATTAATCACTCAATTTATTAGATCCAATCCAGTTGAAGAGTCGCCCAGATCTCTTTCTTGGTTTGCTTGGGTTCAATTGCCGATGAATTTGGTATGCTGAGGTAAAAAAACAAAATTAGAATCTGAAACCTAGGGTTTTTTTTTTCTTTTTTTTTTTTGGTCGATGGAGCCACGAGTGGGGAACAAGTATCGATTGGGTCGGAAGATTGGCAGTGGATCCTTTGGGGAGATCTATCTTGGTAAACCTAACTTTTTTTTTTCTTTTTTTCTTTTTTTGTGTGTGTGTGTGATAAATTTCCGCTATTTGTTCTGGGTTGTAATTTCACTTGGTTTTAGTGTTGAATTCTTGGTTTTTATTTTGTTGGGTACAGGGACGAATATTCAGACAAATGAGGAAGTGGCGATTAAGCTAGTGAGTTCTGCTCTTTCCCTTGTTTTTTTTGCCGAAGGCTTTTTTTTTTCTATTGCATTTTCTTTTTGGTGGTTTTTTGGGTTTTCTTGTTTTTTAAATGTAGAATCCTTTTTGCTCCTCGCGTAATTGTCAGTTGTCATTGCATGGAATATGATTTATTGGTTGATTGAAATTGAGTTGTGTGATTTTGTGAATTAAAATGACTCGCACTCTGAAATTAATGGACTTGCATTTTAGGAAATTGATTAACATCGGAGGTTTTGGCAAATTTTCTTATTGTGTCGTGTTTGATGTTTCTAAATTTAACTGGGAATTATGCCCAACAAGTGCAACATGGTTCATGATATCCTAAATGATCTGATTTCGTTTTCCTAAATGTAGTCTCTTCGAATGAATTGACTACAGTAGCTAGATTGCTAGAATGAAGAACATGCTATGATGAGTATTCATTTTTAGAATGATTCGCTTGATTTTCTTTAACACATGCTAGTGTTGGTTATGCAAGTAGTTTTAATTTGTGGTCTGGCTCATTCTGTATAAGAGCCGAAGGTGTAATTTGATGTTGATAAAGCAATTGAAGAGCAAGCTTCGTTGTTTCTCCCGCTATTTCAAGTCTTTTAACAAGAAATAATCTTAAAAAGATTCTACAGAGGAGCAAATTGACGACGACATAAATATACTAATCTGATCAATATGTGTTATAAACCGGATAAATAGCAAGGGTTCGCAGTTTCAAAACATGATGTCCGAAGCTCTGATTCGATGGTCAAGTACTGACTACTGAAATGGCTAGTATAACTTCACCTGTATGAATTTTTCTATCTTGTACGCTAGCAATGTCATGTTTAGGATTGTATATAAACTTCCATATTTTTCTTTTCATTTATTTGTTTTCATTAGGGGATGGATGGTTGGGTGTGTCTTGATGATGCAAATATTTCTCGGATATTTTTTTATGAATTCGTCTCACAAAGACGTAATATGACACCGTTTATTATGTTTTCAGGAAAATGTGAAGACAAAACATCCTCAATTGCTATATGAGTCAAAGTTGTACAGAATTTTACAAGGAGGAAGTAATGATTTATCCAGGATGTTTTTGTCTTTGTTTGTCTTGAGGTTTTATTTCACTAGTGCCATGAACTCTAATTCTTGTAATAAAATTGCAGCTGGTATACCAAATGTCAGATGGTTTGGTGTAGAAGGAGACTATAATGTTCTAGTTATGGATTTGCTTGGACCTAGTCTTGAAGACCTATTTAATTTTTGCAGTAGGAAACTCTCTCTGAAAACAGTTCTCATGCTTGCTGATCAAATGGTTAGTGTTTTACTGTATTAGTTGAATTCTAATTGCAATGGTCTTCCTTATATAAAAGAGTATATATATATGGATGCCATAATATATGATGTTCATCTAATTGTCATGTCAGATCAATCGCGTTGAGTTTGTCCACTCAAAATCATTTTTACATCGAGATATCAAGCCTGATAATTTCCTTATGGGCTTGGGACGGCGTGCAAATCAGGTCCTGTTCTTTCTTATTTACGTCTTATCTGGCAATAGCTTGATTTATATGCTGACACGATATATTTCTTTTGACATCAATATTAGGTCTACGTAATTGATTTTGGACTGGCGAAGAAATACAGAGACAGTTCAACTCACCAACATATTCCTTACAGGTGAGATGTGGATCAGTCATGGTCAAATTCGCTATTTGCTATTATGTTTCAAGTATAATGGCTTCTCCCATAGAGAGATTAAAGTTGGTACACCAGAAATGGGGTTGAAATAAATGATCAGCTATCAAATTTTTCGTGAACTTTCAAACTTTGAAATAAATGGACTTCTTGTGTATATGCACGTGTGGGTGTGTGGGAGGGAGGGATGGAGGGAGTGTTAGAACTGCAACCTTTTACCTTCTAACTTATCGAGAGTGAACATATGACATTTCTTTATTTAGATGGATTTTAATCTACATAACTGAATGCAGGGAAAACAAAAACTTGACAGGAACTGCACGATATGCCAGTATGAATACTCATCTGGGTATAGGTAGGTTATTTGGTTTGTTTTCCCATGATTATAAGGCTGCCTGATTTCTATACTCTTATATGTTGCATTTTCTACTTTGTTGAGATGCTCTTAATATTCTTTGTAGAACAAAGCAGGAGAGATGATTTGGAATCTCTTGGATTTGTCCTAATGTACTTCTTAAGAGGAAGGTAACTACATCTCACTATAGCTCCTAATGCTGTATTAAGCTGTGTTTGACATTTGTTCTGTACAGCCTTCCTTGGCAGGGACTCAAAGCGGGAACTAAAAAACAGAAATATGAGAAAATAAGTGAGAAGAAGGTTTCAACTTCCATTGAGGTAATTTTATACTGGAAAACGTGGTTGGATGTGACTCCTTTTTATGGAAATATAACTATTTGTTTTAAATACTTTTCAGGCATTATGCCGGGGTTATCCAACTGAGTTTGCATCATATTTCCATTATTGCCGTTCACTTCGTTTTGAGGACAAGCCAGATTATGCTTACCTTAAGAGAATATTCCGCGATCTCTTCATTCGCGAAGGTATAGATGTTTGGTCAACAGAAGTAGACTTTCACTAGCGAAGGCCTTTCAACTCACTGAGATGAGGAATCTGATAAGAAATGGAATTGATATTATTTGCTGTTTCCCTTGCAGGTTTCCAATTTGACTATGTTTTTGATTGGACTATTCTGAAGTATCAGCAGTCTCAAATGGCTGCCCCTCCTCGGACTCTTGTAAGTCAAATAAATCTGGAGAATTTTTCAAAGCATGAAATTCCGATTTGTTAATTTTTTTTTATGAAATATTTGTTTCAGGGTCCAACTGCTGGTCCGAGCTCTGGACTCCCCCCTGCAATCCCCAGTGGTGAGAGGCTGCCAGGTATATTCTAAAAATAAATAAAGTGAAAAAGAAAAATTAAAAAGGAAAAAGCAGTGATCTAGAACTACAGCACATATAAGGTGTTTAGATTGGTTCTACTCTTTGTATCACACACTGTAATAACTCTGTTTGTACTCTTAATTCAATTTACTGCAGGTGATGAAGAAGGGAGACTGGTGGGCACTTCTTCAGCAGATCCTTCTAGAAGAAGAAGCTCTGGACAACTTATAAATGCTGGGAGCTTATCTAGACAGAAAAGTCCAGTTGCAAATGATTCATCGAGCAAGGATGCTATGGTTAGGAGCGAATCTTGTCAAACTTGACTTTCAATTATAGCTTTATTTTGTCGTCTTGGTACTTTTTATGGAGGGAGTGTTTGGAGGGTTCGGTTAAATACCTAGTTCTTTGCACGACCAAATTTTTCGATGGTCCATGCAGTATTATTCGTCGGAATCTTTTAGTATATCTTGAACCCCGGTAAACAGTTAGGTGATGTTTTGAGACGAAACAAGCTTCGTTAGGCATTATAATATGTACATTACTTGAGAAGGAAAGATCGTGGCAACCTTTTCAAATTATATTGATTTCTCAAAAGAACTACATTTGACATCTAGAATTCAGACGCCATTAGGATTTTATTCCGAGATCTACGATTTGTTTCTTCTATTTTATAATATTTTGCGTAGTTTTAATTTGGGGTGGGGGGGGGGGGGGGGATTTATTAAAAATTAAACAGACATGCATTTAATATTTTTTTTCATTTATTTTAGTATTGCGACTTAGCTGGTTCTAATTTTGCAGATGTCAAGCTCGACTTTCTTTGGAAGGTCTAGTGGAACAATGAGACGACCTGCTGTTTCCGGTAGCCAAGAAACTTTCACTATGAGAAACGATATCCGACCCTGTTCGTTCTCGCACTCCTGAAGCCAGTCCAGCTACTGTACACAAAACATCGAGTGCTCAAAGAACTTCAGCTCCCGGTGGATCGTCCGAGCCGAAACAAACTTCGTCCGGGAAGAACAATTCTAGCGTAAAGAATTACGATTCTGCCATAAAAGGTATCGATAATTTGCATTTTGACGATGAAGAAAGGTTCCATTGAATGGAATCCCTGCCTTTTAATACTGCGTTCCTGTAAATCATCAAATTTGTGTGATAGAGACGAGAGGAAGATTTAACCTTGTTGTAATTCTCTCTCGTTCGAATTCAAGAAAATCAGCTGTTGCCATTTGTTGTGCTCTCATGAGGATAGGTAACTGAAAAAGAAAAAAAAAAAGAACTCGAGTGGATTGTAGACTGTTGTAATGTTGTGTCCATTCGAGTCGTGGTGTGGGTCTTTTATTCCATGTGCCGCTTGTTTCTTTACTTTGGGTATAAATCCCATTTCTGCCCCTAGCCTTGAGCGTTCCTTTGTATAATTTGGCCGCTGTAATGTTGGCTTTTTTCCGCAATGTTGTTTACCAGTTCGGAACATGTTCAAGCTCGGGCAATTGGTTACCAAATATTTACACTTAATTTGTTATAAATATTTTATTCAGCCAACTGAGCTGTTTTCACTGATTATGATTATCTCGGCTGGTGTCGATTATCATCTGCCTCGATTGTTGTATTTTTTTTTATAAATAACTTGAAGATTGTTATTCATTATCTCCGTGCAGGTGTTTGTGACCTATTTTTAAGGTTATTGATCAATATATCTCGTAAACCGACATCTTATTTTGTAATGTTTTTTTTCCCTTTGAGAAATGTTTGATTGTAAAAGAATAAGCTGAGAAAATGCTCTGATTATTACACAACAATGGCTTATTAACCTTAAATAATATCAGTTGTTGAAGATTAATGTTTTCTCTATAGTCTCAATACAGAAGCCAACTGATCTACCCAAAGCCATGGCTTCAGCTAGTCTAGACCGAGCTTCGCTGTGATGAGACAATATCAAGACTGCAGCTTCTGCAGCTTGTTTAATCTCCGTCTTAGCCTCGTTTTCGGTTAAATTTAGCCACTGGAGTACTCTGTATAACTGCCTCACACAGTTGAAAAACCATTGTTTAGTAATTATATTTAAAAAACTAAATTGGAAGCACCACATGATATAGAAACTGACCTTCTCGACATCTGAGTGCAGTAACTCTGAGTGTCCGAACAGTAGATGCTCTGCTGCTAACCCTCCAAGTATTACGGACGAAAACTTCCTCAAATTCTGTCGAAAAATAAATAAAGAATACAGCACCCCAACAAAATTATTTGTCGACAGTTTTAATAAAGCAAACGGTAGCTAAAACTTATAATCTCACCTCACGATTAAGCTTCCTTCTGGGGAAATTTTTGTTCGACTTGATATCCACACCCACCTGTATTTAGCAAGAGATTTTTATTAAGATGAGGCGAAGACCTTAAGTATAAAGTATTCCCGAGGGCAATGCTGGAATCAAGAATAGGATATTGTTTCGATTGAAGTGCGCGCTTACATCTCTAAGAAATTCAAAGCCAATGAATTCAACCTTCCCGGCAGCAAACTTGTCCTGCAATAAATCCTCCACACTCGGTACTTTGTATCTTCTCGGTAAGGCCCCAAGCATATAACCAACGAGAAAGTGACCAGCTTCATGCTGAAAAAATCGAGGACTGCTAAATGTATGTTCGACTAATATCAGATGCTCGAGATTGAGATATCGAACAATGAAATATTTTCACTTCCGAAGAAAGAAATGGTATTCAAACTGATCGAACCTCTTACTTGCATACACATTTGATGATCTTCGTGAATAGAATCGTAACTCTCGATATCAATTGTTTTCCCAAAATCTTGCAGGGACATCTACAAGAGTTCGTTTGATCGACAGATAAGCGAAAACCGAGGGTAATCTGATATGCAAGAAAGAAGATGACTGACAGTATTGCTGCATTGCATACCTCTGTTTGTTCCTCCTGCATTTGAAACCCTAGGCTACACCTAACTGTATGAAGGATTGCATCAACTGCTAACTGTAGAGATGATAATTCAATCTCCCCTGATAGCTTTAATTCATCCAATGGCGATACACTTCCGGGAGCCTATAATAATATTCAAAATCTGCAAACAAATAAATGACTTGGAAAAAATTGGGGATCGTCTTTGCTAGGGTTTTTAACTATACCTTTGCGGCGGCGGAGCCGAAGCCACGGAGGAGGCCGGCTGGATGAGCCTTCAATTGCTTCACGAGAGACAGCGCCGCCTTATAATTCCCCTTCTCCAGTTCTCCGTCCACCCTCCTCAGCACTCTGCGACGGCGTAACGCCGCCGCCGCCTCGCCTTCCTTCACTGTCACCGCCCATACTCGACGCAGCCGTATTTGAATCGCCGGCACCGATGAAATATACACTTCCATTTATTACTGCCCTACCACGCTGGTGAAAGCAGAGGGGGAAAAGCTCATATGTTACCTTAAAAACGACGGCGTTTCGGTCCTTTTAAAATCATCGCATTATCCTCGCTGTATTTCTATGTGGCTATAATAAAACCAAAATTGGGAACATAAAATCGAATGAAATTGAAAAACAAAAAATAACTTTGTAGTTTTTTTGGGCAAATGGCAAGTCATATTCTGGTGTATGGCATTGGGGCATTGTCTCTTTCCCGCCGCTCTTGCAGAGTAGTGAGTGAATTGGCAGCGGCGGGCGGCGGCGGCGGCGGGAGATGGCAAGTTCTGGAGCAAGTTGACAAGGAATTGAGCCAGGGGAACGATAGGGCTGCTTTGAATCTCGTGAAGGATTTTCAGGCCAAATCCGGCGGCCTCCGCTGCTTCGGCGCCGCTCGTCAGGTTCTCACCCAATTTCCAGTTTGATTTCTCTGTCGGAACCCTAAAAAAAAAAAAAGAATCTTTGCTTTGATATTGGAATAACTTAATTACATACCTTGATTGCAGATTCCACAAAGGCTGTACACACTAGACGAGTTAAAACTGAATGGAATCGAAACTACGTCTCTTTTATCGCCTGTAGACAGCACGCTAGGTTCTATAGAGAGGGGCATTCAGGCTGCTGCTATTGCAGGTGGAATTGCTGCATGGAATGTGTTTGATTTAAGTCCTCAACAAATCTTTTATCTATCTCTTGGATTGTTGTTTTTATGGACCTTGGATGCGGTATGCTAAACCTAAACTATGCATTTACGAACTTTCATGATTTCGATTTACATTATCGTTGTTTCACGTTTTGTGCTCGCCTCTTCGTTTCTGTGATGGTTCGTCAGTTGGACACTAAAGATTTGTGAATCGCTCTTGTGCTACTAAAAGGTCTATAATGAACTTAGATTAGGAACTAGTAAGTGTATTGATTGGTGTTTTGTTATCAGTACAAAAAACCCTGGAGCCTTTTGTGTATTGTGCCCTTTTGGCGTTTCTTTGTCCTTCTTAGAGATCATAAGCCGACCTTCATATAGTTAACTGTTTGCTTTAAAGTGATCATGCATAGGTTTCTTTCAATGGCGGTATCAGTTTCTTGATTCTCGATACACTTGGCCACTCAATCAGCAAAAAGTACAACAACAGGGTTGCTCAAGTAAGAATTCTCTCCAGCCCGTTCAGTTATTTTTCGGTTTTTAAGCATTTTATGGTGATAGATTCTCTTATTTATCTAATTCACAATGAAATTTCTTGATTGTTTCCTTATATGACTTGTAGCACGAGGCAGGCCATTTCTTGATTGCATACTTACTTGGAATCCTTCCCAAGGGATATTCGCTTACCAGTTTGGATGCTTTGAAGAAGGAAGGATCGCTCAACGTTCAAGCTGGGACTGCGTTTGTGGACTTTGAATTTCTCGAGGAAGTCAGTTTACTTGAACCAATCTATAACTTATGTTCTACTTTGTTGCTCGTATCTTTTTTTTTTTTTCTCACTGTTTATATTTCAGTTTTCAGCTTATTATTTAAATACGTGCTCGTCAAATTGGAACTGTATTAATGCCATGTCCTTAATACCAGTTGGTAGTGCACATGAAAATAAAGAAGCTCTTAACCATCATAAACTGCAACTGATTGTCGACTCTTTGCACAATCATATGCTTTGAAATCGAAGTGTTTCATGTTTTCAACCTTTTCACTGATATGCAACATTAAGTCAAAGAATAAATCCCATTTAAAACGTAATTAAGTATCACGGAAACAGATTCTTTTAACTAGTATAATATCTAAAATGCTCGAATTGTTACCGAAATACTTGTGCAATCTCCCCCTAGACCAAAATGGTAAAATAAACCTATCTCGAATTCTTCAAGTTTGAGATTTGTTTAGAAAATCTATGTATCAAGCATATAATATGATATGAAATCCCATTGATAACATGCAAATTAATTTGAAGTTACTGCTCAAAAACAGGATAGTATATACACCATGCTTTATTTGTGTTCTGATTCAACTCTGTTTCTCCATTTCAGGTGAGCAAAGGAAAAGTATCAGCCACTGTAAGTTCACTTCTTTACACAACGTTACTGACGTCTTTTTCGTTACTTCTCTTGACTTACGACAAGTGTACATTATCTGCAGACACTAAACAGATTCTCGTGTATAGCGTTAGCTGGTGTGGCAACAGAGTATATTCTCTATGGTACTGCAGAAGGAGGCCTTTCGGATATCAACACGGTTTCGTTTCTCACCCAAGAACAATAATTTTTTTTATTTCTGACTATGGCTAAAAATATATTTCAAGAAAGTTAAAAGTTCTGAGATAATATTTTCTTGGTGACAGCTGGACAATTTACTTAAGGGCTTGGGGTTTACTCAGAAGAAGGCAGATGGGCAAGTAAGATGGGCTATTCTTAACACTGTCTTAATTCTTCGTCGCCATGAAAAAGCTCGAGCAAATCTTGCCGAAGCCATGTCTGAAGGACTATCTGTGGGCTCTTGTCTTGACATAATTGAGAAAACCACAGATGTAGCTGATCTGTAGTATGTTCGATACACATTCATATATGTTTTTTTTTTTTTTTGGCCGAAAACTGAAATTGTGAAAATAAAATAACTGCGGAAAACTGAAAAATAGCAACTAAAAGCTTTTTCGAGCACGAAAACCAAGTTGCGGAACCGAAGGAATTTTGTCTAATAGATGTTATATCGAATGAAATATATATACATAGATATAGTGTGAAATGAAATGCAAGTGAGATTCTGATGTTAAATGAGGGGCATTTCAGACATTTTTAAACGAAACTTAAAATGAGGGAGTTCAGTGACCAAAATATACAATTAGGGACTGAACCGTATATGAAACTAATTTCCTGAGAAAATACACCTTGATTATTGTGTATGCAATCAATTCAATTATTTAAAAAAAAAAAAAAAAAAAAAAGAAAAAAAAGGGAAAATGAAATTGGGAATATAATTATTAACACTTAACAGTCAGGGATTTAATATCCATGAAAGTGTGGAATTCTTATTGTCAGGCAGGCAGGCTTGACTGTGATTGGCCAAGTCAAACTGTGTAATTTCCTCCATCGTCTACCCTACTACCCCAGTACCCACCCACCCCACCCCACCCCCAAAACCCAATTCTCAGATTCATTTCTCTGATAATCCGTCCTCCATTTTTTCCGGCGAGCACCACAAATAGAGGATTTTCTCGATGGCTGTGCAATGGCTTTTGGTGTGCCACGGATTGATAACACTGTTGGTAATGGTATCATTCCTCTGCGGACAGTGGCCGATTTTCCAGGGCACCTTCATTCAGCGCATCCACTCCTTCATCACTTTCGGCGCATACGATTATTTACGGTACTCTTCCTTTTTTTCCTGCTTGTTTATTATTATTATTATATGACGATCGATTATTCACTGATTTGCATTGTCGTTGTTCTGTGTTTTGGCGCAGACGGTTCGTTCATTTAGCGTGCGGGTCTAGAGGTACCGATGCGCTTTACTCTGTTGAGTACTATTGTTGCGATCGCCCCAATCCAATTATTCAGGTATTTTCGACTTTTTTTTTTTTTTGGATTCTACTGTTCTCCTGATAATCCTTTGGATGGTTTTGATTTTGTATATAATGTTTGTTTTAGTTACTGCCAGTGTTTAGTGTTTACGACTTGCATTCTCGGCAAAAATAGTTTATGGGATTTTTACTGACAATATACGAGCTTATTTTATTTGTTGGCGTGGCCTATAATTGTTGTAGTTCTTTTTTTTTTTTTTTTTTCTGCGACTGCATGAACTGTTGTTTGTAGTGATGTATGCCAGAATCACTTTACATGTTTACGGAATCAAAGTTTGTTGAGAGAGAGAGAGAGAGCAGAGAGACTGAGCTTGGGGGTTTATGAAATGACGTGTTGTGATTATGATCATCACCATATCGCTATTAAAACATATAAATTTAAATTATGGAATGCGCAGAAACTACTAACAACCTAGCTAACATCGTCTAGGACTAGAATATGTATCGATGAATATAAAATTCTTTCTTATACGAGATTGCCCGATTGGACTTACCACAATTTAAATGATGGAGAACGAAGTCCTATAGTTGACTTCCTGAAAGTGTAATATCCACAACTTTACGTGGTTACACGGGGGAACTCAATAAAACGTTGGCCCATATTTTTTGAATGGTGATGTTACAATCAAGATTCAAGAACTTGAAAAAAACTCTTTCTTCCACCTCCCATATTATTTCGTGGCCCAATAATTAGTATCAGTTTTTGAACAATTTGTCCCCCAAACCCTCCTATATACTTCATGAGGATAAGAATCTTCAGATTCCATTTGTTCTTCATTTGTGCAGAAGGTTTACTTCGCTCCTCCAGCAATAAGAAAAGAGGAAGTAAGTGATGTTTTTGGTGACCTAGATGAATTTATGTCTCAGCTATTCACCAAATGCCACTCAAGAAAACCCCTTCCGAGTGTTGTAGTGGCCTTAACTTGAGAAGTAAGTTCAATTTTTCGGTGAACATAAAAATAACAAGAGAATCATATTGTCCAAATCATTCATAGAAGAACAGCTTTTTCTCTAAATATTACAACTTTGATTTTACTATCTCTTTTAGCACTTACTTGCTGAACATTAGAATTCTATTTAGGATTAGAAACCTGAACTCTTGTACTCAGTGGAGAGAAGCTTCATAGCCTCTTTTTCTCCTTCGTGCAGGTGTTATATTTGTTAATAATTGGAGGAACTTATTACTTCATCGTACAGTCATCCTTCGGCTACATTCCGGGTTATTACTTAAGTGCAGTGCACAGGTATCTTCTGCATTCTTATGCCTGCTGTTGTGTACTTAAGGATGTATATTGGTTACTTCACTGAAAATTATGTTCTGACAGGTACACGAGCTTCTTGGCAGTTGGAGTGGGTATTCTACTCTTTCTGTTGACTAGCTTTTCTGATCCAGGGGTTGTGAATTCTGCCAATGTTTCTCAATACCTTTCTGCTTATCCATATGACAACATTATCTTCTCAGAGAAAGAATGTTCTACCTGCAAGATCCCCAAGTAAGCTCATTGTTCTGGTTGTCAGATGTCCAAAACAGTCCTAACAAAATTACAAACTGGATTTAATTTGCTTCTTGCATTATCAGGCCTGCTAGGTCAAAGCACTGCAGCATATGTGATCGCTGTGTTGCTCGGTTTGACCATCATTGTGCATGGATGGTATGCTCACCCAACGTCCTTTCTAATATTATTAAGGACAATTTTTTTTTTCTTTTTTTCTTAATTCTATCTTCTTTGTAGAACAACTGCATTGGAGAGAGAAATACAAGATACTTCATGGCTTTTATCATTTGGTGAGTAATTAACTTAGCCAGAAAAGTATTTATATGATGTGGATATTGGGATGAAAACATTTAGGCAGATATATACAAAAACAAGAAGGAATATAAAGGAATGTGTAAATATGTTGGTTTGGGTCAATCATAGGAAAGTGTCTGAGAATCCACTTGGGATGGTTAGTTGTTGTTGACCATTTGATAGAACAGTTAGAAAGATTGAATGATTCAGGATACCAAGTAGACGAAGAGTGGCCATATTACATTGAACTAGTTTAGTAGAAATTAGTAAATCTTTGCAGTTTAGTCATAAATATGGCACTGGAATTTGGAAAAAAACTGGATCCGTATGGAATATTTCCATGTCAATAGACTGTAGAGTTGTAAATTAGGCAATTCTTCCTCTATTGGTATTTTTTCAGATCAGGATCTATGGAATTGAAAATGTAGAATGTGAAATACCATCAAGACATGATTATGAGTTTTTTTTGGGTCAAATCTGGATTGCCCTTAAATTGTTTCTAAATTCTTATGCAGGCATTTTCTCATTTGCATGTATGGAATTGTTGCACTTGCATTAATTCTCGCTGGTAGGATGAAAGAATTACAAGTTATCCACATTCTAACAGGTTTGTTTGGTGCAACTCCAAGACAATCGTTGGTGGTCCTGGAGCTATCTCTAATGGCTGAAATGAATTAACTCTCTTTCTCTTGATGTTACAGATTATTACGGCATTGAAAATTCTTTCAGAAAGTTGGCCCCACTTGTTCTACAGGTAAACTACAAACTGTAAAGGGTTCGGTTTCTTCAGCCTTTAGCAAAAATTATTATCTGCCACACCAACCATTGCACCAATTCAGTTTGACCCGTACGGGATTCCATCCATTAGAGGAATTCTCCCTGCTTATGTCAGAGGAACCTTGAAAAACTTGTCATTTCCGTAGATTTTTGGTTGTCAATAATCATTTAATGGGATCAATTGTCAGTACATGAAAAAGTAGGTGAATTTATACTGCTTAGATGAGTAAGATATCGGTATATTCCTTGAAGTATGCTTATTCTTGTTACACTATCTCTCTGATTCCAATCATCTTGTTTATGACGTACAGTGGTTGTCGAACTCATATAACACGCAAATCCTTATTATGGTGTTCTTGGCCGTAGTTTCTCTGCTCTTAGGTGGCTTCTTCACATACCATGCTAAACTCTGTCTCACGAACACTACCACAAACGAGGTACATCTTTTCACATTTATTTTTCAATAGAGTTGGTTGTTACTCTTTACAGAATTGATACAAAATTTAACAACAGGATGTTCATGTAGAAGTAACAATATTTGAGTTTGGTATTGATCCCTTGTTAAACTGCAGAGTTTTAAATGGCAAGAGCAGCTGAGCTGGCAAAGGAAGGTAAACGAGGCAAAGGCAAGTGCAGAAGCTTTGAAAGCTAGTTTAGGTGAACTAGATCAAGAAAATAAGCCTCGGGAGAGTAAATGGCGAACGTTTTTCAGAAGATCTCGTCTGCAAGAACTTGAATTAGTCAAGAATAACATATACGATAAGGGCTTTCTACACAATATTTACGAGGTTGCCATTCCCTTCTCAACGAGGCGGTCATTTTTAGTAAACAAACCGAAATCAGGTTAAGGTGCCTCCCTCGTGGTTACGAATATCAAACTAAATCGAAACCTCACTTACACTACTAGGTTAGTTTTGTAGTCTGCATTCGTTCCTCCATTTTTGTGGTGCTCTGATATGATTGATTATTCTTGATTTGTCCAAATATGTAAATTTGTATCAGTGGACTTAGAATTTTTCCCAAACAGTTTTGTACATGGATTTGTAGCCATAATAATTCTTGATTGTTTCTTTTATGAATATTAAAAATTAAAAATAATTAAAAATTGAGAATTAAAAATTTGAAATTCAAGTAAATGTGAAAATAAATTCATCAAAGAATGCTCAACTATCCCCTTTGAATTTTGAACGGTCTTCCAATATGATCCAACTAAAACATCTAAATCTCACCTCATTCGGTATTAATCGTTCTACGGTTAAACTTCTATAAATAATACAATCATGACTAATAAAATTTTATTAATTTAGTGAAATATTAAATTATTAATCTAATAATTTAGTACGTTTTTACCAAGTCGGGACTCGAATAAATTATTATATAAGCAAGATTATTTATTTATCAATATTTTACATTAGTTCCATTGATATACTTAAGCAAGATTATTAATTATTATAGATTATTTTTCCCCTTTTTATTTAATTTTTACTTTTATTGAATTTATGAAGGAACTAACTACATTGAATAATGTTTTGTAGGTGACCAAACAAGACAAACTGCAGTCTTCACCAACTCTTTCATAAACCCTAACCCCTCTCTCCTGTCATCCACGCCTCTTACCAATCCTCTCAAGGTTCGAGTTTCTCTTATGTATTTTTATTTATTTATTTTACATTAAATGTGAATTTCTTTTGTCGTTTCATGGTGTAATTTTTTACTTTTTTTTTTCTGGTAATTTCTTAGATTTAATTTTTTTTTTCTTTCATTCGTCATCCATTTCTAGTTGGATACTGAATCTATGAACTAGTAGTAACTTGTGAAGTGTGCGATAATTCATTTTTTTGTTTTTTTTAGGTTAATGAAAATGGCGCCGCCGATGAATTAATGGAATATATGGGATTCCTGAATCATTTCTTAGATTGGAATTTTTAGATTTTCATTTAATTACACACACATTTGCTGGTTTTAATTTCTTAGATTGGTTCGTTTTGTAGCACTATCTCGTGTTTCCGAACGATATTTATTTCGAATGCCTCTGCATTTTGACTTAATAATTTTGGATGAATATAATATAATATTTGATGAACAACAGGATTAAAGAATCTACGAGGTAGAAGTTTATATCCCCGTTTCTTAATTGAGGGAACCAGAAATGGCCTATTCAGTTCTACCCCAGAAGTCGATGATCGAGGTTCTTAATTTGCATCGAACAAACTCAGTCTCCAACCAATCGGATCTCAGTTACTGCACCACTCATTATTCTAGAACATGTACGAGGGCTCCGATCAGCTGTTCGCGTGTGGGCGATTGCAAAACTCAATCCAATCCATGGAGGACGGAGATTAATGGTACAGGAGCAAGGCTTTCTTTGTTCAGGTGTAAAGTGCACCAAGCAGCTGTTTCTATCGATCGAACAACTGAGGATAGTCAACAGCAAGAACAGAAATTGGACGGGAAAACGACGTCCAGCGAGAAGAAATTCAACACCCAAATCCATTCAAACAAAAAAAATTCCTACCCTTCGACGTTTTCTCACAGAGGACCCTACGCTGAAAACGACGAGAAGACCAACAACGAAATCCTCCAAAGCTTATGCTGCCGCGGCAAATTACTCGACGCAGTAAAAATGGTGGATGTGATGACTCGCAACAGTCAAATTCCCGATTTTCCGTCCTGTGTAAAGTTGATCAGAGGCCTAACCAATGTCGACCGAACGGACAAAGCTGCTAAGGTTCTCCAGCTAATGGTTATGACAGGTGGGGTCCCTGATGTAATTACATACAACATGTTCATCGGTGGTTTGTGTAGGAAACGGCACCTCAGTGCTGCTGTCGATGTATTGGAAGGCATGAGCTTGAGTGGCTGCCCTCCAGATATTATCACTTTCAACACGATAATACGAGCCATGTTCGATCATGGTAAGTTCGACGAGGCTGTCGACTTTTGGAAAGACCAGTTGAGAAAGGGATGCCCTCCTTATGTAATAACCTACACAATCCTTATCGAGTTGGTGTGTCAGCATGTTGGAGTTGCTCGTGCTTTAGAGATCATGGATGACCTGGCGGTTGAGGGTTGTTATCCAGATCTTGTGACATACAATTCGATGGTCAATCTTACTTGTAAGAAGGGTGAGTACGAGGACACCTCTTTGATTGTATGTAATCTTCTTTCACGTGGGATGGAGCCGAATGCTGTTACGTACAACACGCTTCTACATTCTCTTTGCACTTACGGATGTTGGGAAGAAGTGGACGAAATCCTCGTTTTCATGAACGAAACATCAAATCCTCCCACGGTTATTACTTACAATATCTTGATTAACGGTCTGTGCAAGCACGGCTTGCTCGATCGAGCGATTGACTTTTTAGTTGAGATGATTTCGCATGACTATTGTCCTGATATTATTACTTACAATACGCTTCTGCGTGCGCTTTGTAAGGAGGAAATGATAGATGAAGCTGTCGAAGTTCTTCGTTGGTTGAGCGATAGAGGCTTCTCTCCGACTTTAATCACTTACAATATCGTGATTGATGGATTGGCAAAGCTTGGTTTCATGGAGAAGACAATGGAAGTGTACGCATGCATGGTGGAACGTGGGCCCCGCCCTGATGATGTCACGTATCGGTGTCTGATATGGGGGTTCTGTCGGGCGGATCTTGTTGGAGAAGCTATTGAGTTGCTGCACGCGATCGGTAGTAATAGCAGGCGAAGGATAAGAGAGAACTGTTATAGATTCTTGATTCATAGATTGTGCCAGATGAAAGAAGTTGACTCTGCGGTCCGAGTTGTGGAAATGTTGACTTCGAGTAGAGGCAAGTATAAGCCCACGTCGTGTTCGAATATTGTTCAGGGGATATACTCTTCGGGTATGAAAGACGAAGCTACTGAGTTGCAGCAGAAGTTGATAGAGAAGAAGCTTTTCAAATAATAAGACTTTTGTATTACCGAGCAAGAAATACGAAAACGAGGTGGATGTCGATTAGCTAGTTCGAATCGAATATTGTATAAGAAACATGGAAAGATTTTAATGTCTGGCCTTCAGACATTGTTGTCTGATGAAGCTCTAATGATATTTTTTTTTTTTTGAAAAGCTGAGAGCAAGTAACAATCTGTGTATGCATTTTTCGAGTATTTTTAATATTTTGTTTAATTTTTTTTTGAACTAGATTGCATTAATTATAGATAGATAATATATTTCTAGATTTGTATGTGTAAATGAGTTGCATGGTCGGATACCCATTTATTAAATCGGTACTCATTCCGTATAGTAAACTCGAAAAGGGTAAAACCGGAATCAATCAAAACTGTGACAAATGGTATTTCTACGAAAACCATAACATAACCATAATGGTTTCGGTAGCGAGTTATAAGCGGTTTGAAGAAGCACACACACACACACACACACACACAAAACTACCCGATTCCGGTTTAAATGTAAAATGTCTAAACTACCCCTGAAATATTATTTTTTGCAAGGTACGTGAAATGTCGAGGAAAAGAAAAATTTAATTTAGAAAGTAAGATGTAACAACTTATAAGCTCAAACTTGTAAGCTAGCTGTCAAAAAAAAAAACTTATAAGCTCAAACTTGTCGCTTATAAGTATTTTGTAATTCCACCAACTTTGAAATGTCAGTTTGTAAACCCCGCTCATTTCATTTTGCTTCTTCGTCCAAGTTTGCTCTGTCAGTTTGAAAAGTGAAAACCCTTTTTTCGACGTCGGAATTTTACTCGCCGGCTCTCGATCTCTCTTTCTCCAGCCACTGCGTTCTCTGTTTCCGCCGGAACATGGATCCCGACGTCGGAATTACTCGATCGCCCGCTCACTCCTCCTCTAACTCCACCGCCTTCTCTGTTTCCGCCCTCAATAATGTACTGGTATCAGGAATGCACGGCCTCGGGGTCGAAATAGGTACTGTGTCGATAATCGTTAATTTTTTTTTATTTTTTTTGGTTTGAATACATGCAATAATCGTTAATTAATAGGTACTGTGTTGATAATCGTTAATTAATACGCTTAATTAGTGTTATTAATCCTTAATTGATGTGTTAATTACCCTTTAACCCCTCCCGTTTCCGCTTAATTATCGACATTTGAACCTAATTAGTGGTAATTACTCTTTAACCCTCATTTGTGTGTGCGCGCGCGACATGCATTAATTATATATTTTCGCCTTTTATTTTCCAGCGAAAAATCTTATAATTGCTGGTGTTAAAAACCTTACCTTACATGACTACAACAAGGTGGAGCTGTGGGACTTTTCTGGTAGTTTTGTGTTTCATGAGGAGGATTTAGGGATAAACAGGGCAGTGGTTTGCCGCCCTAAATTACAAGAAATCAATGAGAGTGTCAAAATTTCTGTATTAACCTCAACTTTGGTTAAAGAAGATCTCAAGGACTTCAAGGTAGTCCGCTTTTTTTTTCGTTTTTAATTTTTTTTTATGTTTCCATATTTATCATTACAATTGCATAGCCTGCTTTTCATTTATTTTCATTATGGCTTTGCTTGTAGGTTGTCGTATTTACCGATTTGCTGTTAGAGAAAGCAATGGAGTTTGATGATTATTGCCATGAGCAAAACCCTCCGATCGCATTCATTTTGTCAGATGTTCGAGGCCTTTACGGCAGAATTTTCTGCGACTTCGGTCCCGATTTTGAATTCCTAGATGCTAACGCCGAGGGGAAGGCTTACAGAGCAATGATTTCAAATGTTTCTACAGCACCGGACGCTATAAAAGTGGATTGTCATGTTGTCGAGGGTCAGGACGTGAAGTTTCAGCAAGGTGATGAAGTTGTGTTCTCTAACGGGAAGCGCATGATAGGATTGCATGATGGAAAACCGAAAAAAGTAATGGGTGTGGATCTTCCTTCTAAATTCTACATTCGAAACGATCCTACAAATCCTCCTCTAGATGGGACCGAGGTTGTTGTCACAAAAGTGACACGTAAATTGTTGAAGTTCAAGACATTGAGAACCTTTTTGAATGATCGACTTTCGAATCCTAACATAAAGATCACTATCTACCCCTTGTTACATCAAGCTTTAGATACGTTCAGAGCAAACTTGGGACGTTTTCCTAATGCTGGATCAAAGGAAGATGCTGAAAAAATAATTGCTCTAGTAACTGATCTTAACAATGAGTGGCCTAATGATATGCGGGCAACAGTTGATGCAGAGCTTCTTAGGCATTTTACCTTTGGCGCTAGAGCTGTTTTAAGTCCCGTGGCTGCCGTGATTGGTGGTTTAACTGCTCAACAAGTTTTGAATACTTGCTCAGGAAACTTCCACCCGATGTTTCAGGTCGGATATGGTCTTTTGTGTTGAACCTCTTGTTTACTTAATTGTCAGTTGCATGGTCTTTCTTGTTCATTTAATCGTCAATTATATGGTATTCTGTGTTGAACTTGACTTGTTCATTTAATCGTCAATTATATGGTATTTTGTGTTGAACTTGACTTGGTCACTTAATTGTCAATTATATGGTATTTTGTGTTGAACTTGACTTGGTTACTTAATTGTCAATTATATGGTATTTTGTGTTGAACTTGACTTGGTTACTTAATTGTCAATTATATGGTATTTTGTGTTGAACTTGACTTGGTTACTTAATTGTCAATTATATGGTATTTTGTGTTGAACTTGACTTTGTTACTTAATTGTCAATTATATGGTCTGTTGTGCTGAACCTGACTTGGTTACTTAACTGTCAATTATATTGTCTTTTCTGTTGAACGTGACTTATTTACTTAATGGTACTGATTCAAGCATTCTTACGATAAACAGTGTCAACATTTCAACCTTTTAAGACCCTCAAATTTGGATCCTAATGACCTGAAGCCCATCAATTCTCGTTATGACGCCCAAGTATCTGTATTTGGGGCGAAGATACAGAAGAAATTGTCGGCGGCAAATGTGTTGATTGTGGGGTGTGGTTCCATAAGTTGTGAATATTTGAAGAATCTTACTTCGATGGGAGTTTGCTGTGATAAATTGGGTAAGTTGACTGTTACAGATGATGCTCTCGTAAGAGAGAGCGACCCCAATAGACATCTAATGTTTCGTGATCAGAATATTGGTCAGGCAAAGTCTGTGGTCGCCGTCGCAGCGGCTAGGTCAATCAATCCAAATCTTCGTGCCGAGGCTTTACAAGAGCGTCTTTGCCCTGAAACTGAAAGCGTTTTCGACTACGAGTTTTGGAAGAAGATAGACATAGTCCTCACTACAAGTTCAATAACCAATTCAGTTTATGTTGGTGAAAGATGTTTCTATTTCGGGAATGCGCTCCTAACCTCAGAATTGGCTGGTCCAAAGATCTTTAGTAGAACAATTATCCCTCACATAACAAATCACTTTCTTGTATCATTGAAATATCCACTGCGGGTGAACGACATTGAAGCATGTGTCTGGTTGGCTGAACGTGGGCTTAATGAGCTAATTGTGGCAGCTGCAGTAGAGCTTCCTAAATTTATAAGTGATCCAAATGGATACATCACTGATTTGAGGCATGAGTCGCAAGCGTTCAAAACATTTGAAATGGTTCTTGAAAATCTAGACTATATATTAAACAAGACATTTGAAGATTGTGTTAGATGGGCTCGGTGCAAGTATAATTCCTTCTAACTCTCTCTCTCCTTTTTTTTTGGAATAATTTGAAAAAGTTTCTCTTACTGATTATGTGATCATACCAGGTTCGAGATTCATTTTGTCAACAAGTTCTCTGCCAATGATCCAACTGATATGAGCTTTATCAAGTCAGCATCTATTCTAAGGGCATGGCTTCTCGGCATCGACATCCCTGAGTGGGCGAAGTTTGTAGATAATAATAAGTTCACTGAAGCTATGGAAGGGGTCGAATACAGCAACAATGTTAAAGCCGTCATTGAACCAAACACACCAGCTCGCATGCAAAAGTTGATTGGTGAGCTAATCAACAACTCGAGCCGCTTGCCAAGAAGTTATAGAGTCACCCCATTTAATGATGCCTTTGTACAAAGTTACGGCGAACAAAAACTGATTTTTTCTGTTTCTCTTGTCAACTTATTGGCGAGGAAACATGGGCTTCCTGAAATTCATCCAGAGGAATTTAAGTTTATCCGCAGGACAAATAAGGTTCCCGAGGTCTCCCCAGCTATTGCTTCTGGACTTGCTTGTTTACAGCTATACCAATTTGTTGGTGGAAAGAGAAACCTCAATGACTATTCGAACGTGTTAGTGTCACTCGACAGTTCATGCATGAAAATCAGTACTCCGGTGGGAGCCTCAATCATTGGCACCGTTGCGAATACAGCATTGACCCCTTGGGACAAGTGGACTATGTGGGGCGACCCTACTGTCGGCGATTTAATTGCTTTTCTAGAAAATGATGACCTGAGGGTAATCAAGGTGACTTTTGGATGCCACTGTATCTACCTCAGCTCAATTCGTGCACACAACCAAATTTTGGAAACAAAGTTGCTGGATTTGATGAGATATCTTGATAATTTCCAACTGCCAGTGAGGAGTCGCTACAAACTGCTCGTGACTTGTGAGGACAATTCCAGGGCACGTGCTGATATTCCGGTGTACATATACACATCTTTGTGGTAGATTCATTCTCTTATTTTCGCAAATCATATTGAATTTTGGTGATAATTGATATATGTTCTGTTCTGTAAACAATGCCAAGGCTAGTAGTAGTATGAAGTCCCCTTGTTTCTTCGTAATTCAATGCCGAGGCTAGTATCTAGCGTTTTTTGGTTTCTTTGGCCTACATGGAAGTTTAGATACTCGTCTCGTAATTCAAATTTTGGATTTGGCCAAATGGGCATCAAATGTTGATTGGAGGGGTGTTGTCCCTCCAAAAGATCTTCCTATTATGTGTTTTTGCGATGGTGGCTCGCCCATCGTTGATGTTTGTAATTTTTCGTTCTATTGAAGTTTCTCATTTTATCGATAAAAAAAAAAAAAAAAAAAGTCCCTTGTTTCTTCTAAAGCTACTTTTTCACATATATAATTTGAGATGAATTGATCATTCATGCACAAATCGTAATAATTTGTAATTCACCTCTATTTGGTATACTATTGTTTAGAGGGAATTCCGGAATACATGGTAATATTTGCATGGCAGCGAATATATGAAAATCCATAAATTTCTTGCTAAAAAACAAGAATGTAAAAATACTAATTACACGCCACCACTATGCCTCAAGTCCAACTACACGTGGCAAAATAGGGAGTCAATAAAACAAAAATCAAAAAATGAATTAAAAAACATAGCAATTAATCTTAATCGCTACTGAACATAGTCGATTGAACCTTAATCGACTACTGCACGTAGATGATTACGGGTCTAACTTGTGGGAATTTACCAAGGTGTAAGGTATTTACCAACGGGCAACCTTGTCTTGGCAATGCTTAGTGGAGAGTTATTTATATTGATCTACGGTGCAAAATCACATGGTGTGTTTCACTTCACGAAGTGTAGCATCTCAAAAGCCTTTCTTGAGTTCTCCTTTCTTTTCTTTTCATTTTTTCTTTTTTTATTTTACAATTGTTTAAATTGAGAGGGGTGGTATTTATTTAATTTTACAGCTTAGATCAGACGATGTTAAAGTTAAATTTATCAACTTAGAACGAGGGTTGTATTGTGACGATTTTTCAATTATGGAAGTAAATTGATGCAATCGAAAATAGAAAGGACTAAAGTGAAAGTTGGCATTGTTCTTTTTCTTTTCTCCCAAGGTATGGAAATAAATAAACTGATGATGCTAAATATCGATCACCTTAAGTAGTTGAGGTAGAATAAACTGTGAGAGCAAAGTGGATCACTGGCTCACGAGCTTGACCACCTTGAGATACCTGCAATCATAGAACACGTGAACTAGGTCGGGGGTTGATCCGGCGATCTGACGCTCAAGTCAAACGTGCGGATCGAGAAGACGTGCCATATTGAAGTAGTTCAGAGAATACAAATTGTAGTATTACTCAGATAATAAGGCGTGCATTTAATAAATGAATTAAATCCTTATTTATACTTTGAGATTGTTGGGTTTAAACCTTATTTGAAGATAATTGGGTCTCGGTAATAGTGGTCTTCAATATTGAGCTCGTGGCCCATAAATAAACTGTAGGCATATTGGATTAGTCCAATTAGACGTATCATAAACATAAAAGCACTACTAGAAAATTGAGTTTTTGTGACACTCTATTGTGACGGTATTTTAAAGCCGTAGTTATAGGATATCTATTAAGACGGCTAATAGATAGGCGCCTGAGTAAATATATTTTTTTATTTTATTTTGCTTTATTTAATTTTCAAGAGCCCTATATTATGACGCTTTTGAGTTAGTCGCCTCGATATATACAGATATGATGAGACGATTTCATATACCGTCATAACATACAGGAATAATCGCGTCATTATAATTGGAGGAAAAAATACCGCGAAAATTTCTATTTTTTTCCCTAAAAAAATTGAAATTGCTGCTAAATTAATGCCCATTCCACTTACAAAGGAAAAAAAAAAGATATCTGCCAAAGCCCTAACTCTTTCATATCCCGTTTTCTTCTCGCTTTTCACCAAATCCCTAACCCTTTCCTCTCCCTTCTTCCTTTTTGTTCAATCGGCGGTGCACTCCAGCCCGGTTTCTTCTTCCTTTCGTGCAAACGGCGGTACAGGTACCTGTGAATTTAATTTAGTTTGAGAATTTCTCCGTCATCTGCTTCGATTTTTAACAATAAAAAATATGTGATGATTTCTCGACAGGTATACTAAAATTACTGAAGAACTCTGGCAGGTAATACAAGTCTTTGTTTCATGACCTGAATATTTTGTTTCAAAATTATTTAATATTTTTTTTTCTCGAACAAAATTGTATGATCTTTCGTCTTATTGATGAATTTGGTGCACCTTAAACGAAATTAGGGTGGATTGGGTGAGATTTGGTTCAACGTGGGATTGGGTGAGATTTAGTATGGTGATGTAAAAAAAATCTGATTACAGTGGATAATTATGTGGAAATTAAAAGTTTGGAATAAATTCATAAAGTAATAGAGTATGAATTCACATGTTAATGCTGGTTAAGATATTTCTTTATATATATTTTTTTATTTTTTGAATTTCTTGGAAAAATTCATTCATTTATTGTTTCAATTTTTTGTTGTTGTCTGATGAAGATTTGGGATTATCATACTGTGATTTTTGAAATTTATTGTTTGAATATTAACTCCATAAATTAAATATTGTGTTTGGAATTCTCATACAGGCTAATTTTTGAATTCCCTATCTTGAAGCTATTTTACTCAAAGACAGAAGGTGTTATACAGGTTTGAATAAAAAATACTAGAAAAATTCTATTCCTTAACTCTGTATTGCAGTTTGTCTCCATATATATATATATATATATATATATATATATATATATATATATATATATATATATATATATATATATATATATATATATTTTTATTGTCTATTATAATAGTTGCCTTTCCAGTCGAAACTATTAGCATGGATAGAAAATGGATGGATTCCCCAAGGTCAAGCACAGAGTATCAAACAGGATTGCATAGTTTTCTTAACTTTGCCTTCTCAAATTCAAACGATGGGCTAATCTTGTGCCCCTGTAAGAAATGTAGAAACGGTATTTGCAAAACACGGAAAGTAGTAGTAGAACATCTTCTTTGGCATGGTTTTTTAAGTGGGTACACAAAATGGATTCTTCATGGAGAGTTGTTTACTGATGAAGAAGAACTTGTATTGCAAGATGATGATGTGACAGTTAATGATTATAATGTTCAAGGAATGTTACGTGATAGATTTGGAATGCAAGATGAATTTGAAACAACGCCGCCAATAGAAGAGGTGGAGAGACCGTGCAAAGAAGCTGAGAAATTTTATAAACTTATGGCAGATGCAGAAAAAGAGCTTTATCCTGGATGTCAAAGGTTTTCTAGACTTTCTTTCATTATTCGATTACTCCAAATTAAGTGTCTTGGAAATTGGACCGATAATTCTTTTACTTTGATACTTAATTTGTTGAGAGAATCATTTCCAGAAGGTGTCCAATTACCCAAAAATTACTACGAGACCAAAAAAATACTAAAGGATTTGGGTTTGAATTATACGAAGATTGATGCATGTAGAAATGATTGCATGCTATATTGGGGTGTCAATGAGAGTAAGATCAGATGCGAGACTTGTGATGAGCCACGGTGGATAATACCAGAACTTAGTCAAGCTGATCAAGGTGTTTCTTCAAAAAAATCAAAGAAAGAAAAGAAAGTCTCGGCAAAAGTAATGTGGCACTTCCCACTGAAACCAAGGTTGCAGCGATTATTTATGAATTCAAAAACTGCATCCCTTATGAAGTGGCATGACGAGAAACGAACCAAAGATGGTTTCATGAGGCACCCCGCAGATTCTCCCGCTTGGCATACTTTTGACTATCATAATCCAGACTTTGCCAAAGATTCCCGCAATGTAAGATTAGGTATGGCTACAGATGGTTTTAATCCTTATAAAACTATGAATGTATCTCATAGTACATGGCCAGTAATCCTAATACCTTACAATCTTCCACCTGGAGATTGCATGAAAAAATCACACTTTATGCTATCTCTACTTGTACCTGGTCCAACAGAG